TCAGGATATCTCCGGAACTACCCGGAATTTTAAAAAATTTTCTAAATGGCATATTGTTAGATATAAAAAAACACAACTTTTTTCTAATCTGAGCCGCCCCGTATCTCTTACCGTTGCCTAGATCCTAATGCTATCCCATCCTTATATTGGACACACTGTATACTGGATGTTCCAGAAAAGTAGGGAGTTCGTTTGACTATAGACTCTTGATATCTATTAAAATAGGACAATTTAGACCAGTGACGTAAATGCTGTGAATCTTAAATGTCACAAATTTTAGTTACAAGTATAATTCACAATATAAATGAGTCTAGCGTGAGTATTTTTTTTAATTACAAATGTTTAAGGGGAAGTTAATATTTTAACATTCATTCATTCATATATTTGACTAATCCTTTAATTCTCGTGTACATTTTGAGAACCGCTGTCCTCATATGGAACTAATCAAAATCCCGCACGTTGCTGGTTGCCGAACTAATCTGGAGTTCGGAATGCGCGTCTATTAACAGACCCGTACTCGGCCCACTCGTCTAGATTTCATTTTAGCCCTTTGCTACAATTTGTTCCAACTATTACATGCTTTCATTTTACACGTGTGTATGAAACAAACACTGTAAGCTGTAATCAGCGTGTGTATGTAAATATTTATACAGGTTGATCCAAATTAAAGATATGCAAGCGATTATTAAAATAAGTAAAAACCTGAAGGGTATTGTGATGGTGAGAATTGTAAGCTTAATGTTTAATTTTTTCGTGCACTTGCTCATTCCAAAATATTCTATCCTTTGCAAACAGTGTTAAAATTTCAAGAACTTGACGATGTTTAAAAAGATAATTAGAACATTTGCCAAAAATTATAGTGATGTAGATTTTGTAAAGTGAAGCAAATATTTGTACATTAATAAGAAATGAATCGCACTGTAGAAATACTACACTTGACTTCGTGCATATATAATGTACAGAATATTTTACAAGAAAAATGCGAGTGTGAAACTGAGATTAATATCAAACCAAACGCGCCCCATGGCGACGTCAATAAAACAAAGAAGTGCAACTGTTAATTCAAATCGTGTCAGGGCCGGATTGTCCGACAGGAAAACTTAAGCACCCTCGACTAGTTCGGAAATTTGATTCTTTATTTAGACTTTTTAGTATCATACCATTAATTGGTTGTTGAGAATATCAGTTTCTTAGAAATCTATATGGACAAAGCAAACAAATTTTTGTAATTATCTGAAAAATATAGAGAATCTGTTATATGCGTTGAACCTTATAATAAATATGTGTACATATATTTTAAGTAGCGATACAAATTACTGTATAGAACATGTAATTAATTAATTCTTTTGCGAAAAAATTAGAAATAAAAAAGTTAAATTGTATGTAAATATNGGAACTAATCAAAATCCCGCACGTTGCTGGTTGCCGAACTAATCTGGAGTTCGGAATGCGCGTCTATTAACAGACCCGTACTCGGCCCACTCGTCTAGATTTCATTTTAGCCCTTTGCTACAATTTGTTCCAACTATTACATGCTTTCATTTTACACGTGTGTATGAAACAAACACTGTAAGCTGTAATCAGCGTGTGTATGTAAATATTTATACAGGTTGATCCAAATTAAAGATATGCAAGCGATTATTAAAATAAGTAAAAACCTGAAGGGTATTGTGATGGTGAGAATTGTAAGCTTAATGTTTAATTTTTTCGTGCACTTGCTCATTCCAAAATATTCTATCCTTTGCAAACAGTGTTAAAATTTCAAGAACTTGACGATGTTTAAAAAGATAATTAGAACATTTGCCAAAAATTATAGTGATGTAGATTTTGTAAAGTGAAGCAAATATTTGTACATTAATAAGAAATGAATCGCACTGTAGAAATACTACACTTGACTTCGTGCATATATAATGTACAGAATATTTTACAAGAAAAATGCGAGTGTGAAACTGAGATTAATATCAAACCAAACGCGCCCCATGGCGACGTCAATAAAACAAAGAAGTGCAACTGTTAATTCAAATCGTGTCAGGGCCGGATTGTCCGACAGGAAAACTTAAGCACCCTCGACTAGTTCGGAAATTTGATTCTTTATTTAGACTTTTTAGTATCATACCATTAATTGGTTGTTGAGAATATCAGTTTCTTAGAAATCTATATGGACAAAGCAAACAAATTTTTGTAATTATCTGAAAAATATAGAGAATCTGTTATATGCGTTGAACCTTATAATAAATATGTGTACATATATTTTAAGTAGCGATACAAATTACTGTATAGAACATGTAATTAATTAATTCTTTTGCGAAAAAATTAGAAATAAAAAAGTTAAATTGTATGTAAATATAAATAATTATTTAATAGAAAACTTGTTGAGAACCGCTGTCTTTACCGTAGCAGAACGCTTAATGTAGATCAAGTATGCAGTGTTGCCGATGTTACGTAGAATTCTTAAACTCTTAACTTTTTAAATAAAATGGGATAAAAACGTGGAATTGCCTGAATACAGTCTAACGAAAAACTGAAATGAAAACTGAGACTGAGCCGAGGGAGGAACGACTTTGTTAAAAGCCGTTCCTCCCGAAGATCAGTTCTGTAACCAACAACGCTCAGGTTTAATATCCATGTCATCGCAATAATATTGAATAGATGGATTTTTAAAAAAAAATGATATATTGCTTAAATATTTGGAATTATGATAAATGATTTCCACCGGTCTCGTTTACAACACGAATTTTTTATATTTTTCCGTTTAAGAAGTCTGCTAATAGATTTAGGATTGCCTTTCTATATCTAAAACGAATTTCGAAAAATTAGTTTAATATATGCTTCATCAAAACTGTCTCTTGAACTCTGATGGAAATGATGGAAAATAATAAAATCGAATGTGCCGTGGAACTGTGACAGTTATGAAGCAATGTCAGAACTTCATTCAATATTTTATAGACTCTGTGCATTTCTTTTGATTTACAAATCAATTTCAAAGAAAAAATACCTGTTCCACTTTATTCGAAAAAAATGAAACACTTTCTAGTTATTTTTCAATTTAAAATAACCGTATTATATCGGGTGTTCTCAAAGTTGAGTCATTTATTTTAATAGCTGGTAGAACTCGTAAAAAAGTCGATTTGCCAAAAATCGTTTATATAAAAGTTGCCAAATAAAGCAACACAATTATTTAAAATAATTGAAATGTAAAAACTTTTTAATACAAACCTGATTTATTGTCATTTTCGACCACTACGTTGTAAAAACATAAATGGTAAACAAATGGTAAGAATTTTAAACAATTTTTGTAGAACAGGATTTTTATAACTCTTCTTTTGCAACTTTTATATAAACAATTTTTGGTAAATCGACTTTTTTACGAGTTCTACCAGCTGTTAAATAAATGACTCAACTTTGAAAACACCCTGTATATTAGCATAAATAGATAAATCATTAATATTAAATAAATTATTATTTAAACTGTATCTTCCGCAAAATAAAACGTATTCTTTATTTATTCAAAATTATACCTAACCATCTTATTATTTTGGATAAAAAATAATTATTTTTTGAAAATTATTAGTTCCAGGAATAAAATGGAAAAGACATGTTTTCTCTGAAATGCAATTGTGGATCAAGTGAACTTATCCAAAACAGTCAGTGACGTCGAAATTTTAGGATTTCTAGTAATGTCTCGCAGTAGCTCCACCTCTTGTATAATTGTATATATACATTGAGTGTACACATGTTTACCTTTAATTAGTTGTTGTCAGTCCAAGTTTTATTAATCTACGTGAAGCCTCTTTCAAGGTACTTGAATAATTGTGATGTTTTTTTAAATGTAAACCCCCCCTGTAACTTGAAACAAAAACAAATTTGGTACTAAGGTATATTTGGCACAATTATCATATTTTTGGTCGCCCCGTATAGTATAGTTTCTTAATTTTATTTAATCTAAATTTAATGTTATAGAGTAGCAAAATAATATATATTTTTATTTTTACTGTTTATATTAATTAATTATATAATTAATAAATATACTTATTAATTAATCCTATCTTTTAAACAGGTCAGAGCACTTTTGATTTTAATTTGATAAATTATTAATATGAGAACATAATTTTAGTTTACTATGCTTTGAGTCACATTTTCCTAAATTTTTTAATTATGTTCAAAAAATATTTGAATATCGCTATAAAAAATCCTAAATGTTTATGATTCTTTAAATGGAATACCGTGTATATTTTTATACGAATATGTAAAAGACTATGTAAAAATATACAGGGTGTTTCGTGTAAAAAATCATAAGTTTGGGTCATATTTTTTCATGCAATGTTTAATTTAAAAAAAATCTGAAAGAGATACAACTTTTCTATTTATCAATTTTTCCTATAAAAAGATTAACGAGGAAATCCTACAGTCAAAATAAGTAAAGGTTGCACCTAAGTAACGTATACATTAAGTACGTCTGAGTCCTGACCTGCACAAATCTCGCAGAGTGTACTTGCTACTCCTGGAGTAACTGTTTCAAAATTTCAAACATTAGTAACCTATTAATTTCCTCGAAAACCGATAATAATTGGTTGTGCTCGCAGCTCCTCAACCACATAGGTATTACAAAGATTTGTAATACACGCCTGACAATTTATGTTATGTTTAAAAATATCCAGCTTTAGTAAACAATGTTGTTTGTGTGTATAAGCGAGCTTTTGTTACAGTATCTTAGCTTGTAGTAATATAAGTATAACCGATATCTTGGTGTATGAGAATTATCAACCATATGGGACGAAGTAACCAGAAAATAATAATAACGTCGTACTTATTTAAATAAATACATTTAAATCTAAGAATACGGGCTTTAACGATCAAATAACTCGGGAGGTTCCGCTAGTGGTTGAACGTATATATCAACGCGCGCTTGATTTTGACAAACATTTTCCGAGGACGGGACGATGCAGGCCCTCCTGTATTTGTCAACAGTGCGAAAATTATAGCGGCCGTTAATATTCATTTTACGACATGGAAGTGAAGTCGACAGGAAATTCTAGGCTTTTTTTAACAACTCCTGTAGAAAATAAAGATGATTCGGAGGAGGTAAATCGTTTTAAATCATATTATTAGCAAATGGTGGTGCTTTGTCCGCCATTGTGATTCTCGCCTTTGACTTCTTTTATTTGTATTTGACGCTGACAGTACCGTAAACGCGGTTAATTCAAATTTTTATTTTATTTTTCAGAAACTAGAACGTAGTTACCAATTCCTTCAAGGCACAATAACAGGATTAAGTGATAAGGATGCACACGAAGCTCTCAACAAGGCTCTTTTAAAGGAGAAAGGTTATGAGGAAGTGTCGCTTGGACTTTTAGTAACTATTTTAACCGATCCCCACAATGCGGCAAAAAGTTACAGGGACTTAACATTAATTACACGTGATGGTTTTGGACTTATAGTAACAAATTTATCTCAGTTAATTTTGGAAAAATATTTGAAATTCAATGATGTAGTTAAACAGCAGTTAGTATGGCTCCTCCGAGAAATGATAAAAAATGCTGTTAGTAATGTTGATAATTTAGTATGGAATTTGATGAGACATGCAGCTGGTGGTGATGTATCTCCAAAGAACATTACGCTTATTGAATCTTTACTTGATGTTTTTATAGAATACAGAAGTTGGCTAGAGAAATTTCCACTTCTTATTGCATCCGTAGTTTACACTTATTTAAGGTTGATAGAAGACCACCATGCGCCTTACCTAACCAATTTGAAACAGAAAGAAGTTAACTTTTTAATAAGTATAATGCGTGAACACTTTCATGAGTGCTTGGTTATAGGAAGAGACTTAGTCCGTCTGTTACAGAACGTGGCTAGAATACCGGAATTCGAGCAGTTATGGAGGGATATTTTGCTGGCACCAAAAACCCTGTGCTCTACGTTTAGTGGTATACTGCAACTACTACAGAATCGGACGTCACGTCGGTTTTTACAGTCCAGATTGACACCAGAAATGGAGAAAAAGCTCGTATTTCTTACTTCTCAGGTAAGATTTGGAAATCATAAACGTTACCAAGACTGGTTCCAAAGGCAGTACTTAGCAACACCCGAATCACAAAGCCTTAGATGCGACATAATACGTTTTATTGTAGGCGTCATCCACCCTACTAATGAACTATTGTGTTCTGACATTATTCCACGATGGGCTGTCATCGGTTGGCTTTTAACTACATGTACGTCAAGTGTAGCTGTCTCCAATGCTAAGTTAGCATTGTTCTACGATTGGTTATTTTTTGATAGTGAAAAAGATAATATTATGAACATTGAACCTGCGATCTTAGTTATGCACCATTCGATGCGTTCTCACCCAGCTGTGTCTGCAACGCTCTTAGATTTTTTGTGTCGGATAATCACCAACTTTTACCCACCTTTGACAGATAAGGTGCGAGCGGGAATTTTTGCGTCTTTGAGACAAATTTTAGACAAACGAGTTCTGCCGTCGCTGCTACCTCTCTTTGACAATTCGAAATTAGACCGGGAACTAAGAAATATGGTGCGTGAAACGTTTAAAGAATTCTGCAACGCCATGCCCCTTGAATCATCCTCGAAAGATGAATTTAATGTGGCTCATACTACCAAGTACGAAGACGTTGACAATGTGGAGTCTCGAATGGCTGCTGCTTTGAATAATCACATTTTGGATAACGAACCGGCGTTTAGTGATGACGAAGAAGAGCCCGGTTTAACGATAAATACCAACTTGGAAGAAGATACCGACGATGACGACATTCCATTATCCAAAGTTAGGCTGAAGGAAAAAAGTGACAAATCCGACGACAGTCTAATAGAAGGGCCCATAGGAGAAACGCTTTTAAAACTTCAACAAGAAACCGATGCGGATGAAAGATGCGAGTTAATGGAGAAGCTAATAGAGCAGGTAGTGGATTTAGACGAGGAAGACGAGAACTTACCCGTTGTAGCTAAAACTTTGAGCAATTGTGTAAAGGAGGACATAAAAGGAGAAGTATTCCCTGAAAATTTAACACAAGAAAATCTCTTGGACAGTATTAAGTCACCGTTGTTCGTTTTGTTTAAGACATTGTATGGTTTAAATAAGGACGAAGTGGGTAAGGATGTTTTATATCGTTTAGCGGCAGAGATGTATCGTTATTTACCCAACTTAGGTTACTTAATTCTTTACTTTCTTAAAGTGCAAATAAGGACAGAAAACAAAAAGGAAGACCACACCAAAGCTAGTGCACTAAAGATCAGTGTTTACAAAGATTTTTGTCAGAGTATAGAGAAGAAAATAGACATTTGTATTTTTGATGACTTATACGCATGCCATATCAGTGATACTAAATTAATGATGTGGATAGTGCCTGATTTATATAGGGATTTTAAACAACAGACTTTAAATAATGCTCAAATATTGCGGGTGATAATTTCTGCTATAGACGCGCGACAGTTGCAGACTCTAGTGGGGAAGGTGTTGCAGGGTCACCTGGTGATGTTCAAACCCGAGAACCTTCAGGCCCTGCTGAAAATCAGCCTGTCGTGGGAAAGTATCGAACAGTTTTTCCTGTGGCAGTTGGTGAACGCCCACGACATTTCCATAGACACTGTTTTACCTCTCATCACCGAGTTAGATTATGAACAACATTCGGAGGCTTTAATGGCTATTACGCTTATGCTTAAACAGGAGAAACCCAACGCGGATTACATAAAATATTTATTTTCTAGAGACATTAGTGACAACGGGGACTTATTTGTGTTTACGATCATTAAATATTGGTGTGACGAGTACATAGACAAGGTGGCAGAACTAATTTCCTCTTTGTTGAGCACGAGATACCCCTCGACGTCCCCCAACAAACGGAAACGTTCCGGGGGTAAAACCTTGAGCGCGACAGTGCCCAGTGCCGATCAGGTGTTGGGACATTTGGAGAAACTCCGTATTATTTGCGAAAAGCACGACTGCATGGCGATCTACACGTTGGACTCCATGCAGAGGGCTCTCAGTATTGCGCAGAACAACAGCAACGACAGCCAGAGGAAGCAGTTCAGCGAACTGTTTGCCCTGATGGAGGAGGAGGAGGAAATTAGTGCTACGAAAAGCAGGTCACAGGGGAGAGGAAGGAAACCGGCTACTAAGGCCACAACCGCAAACAAAAGGCAGGCAGTTCGGGAGATATCCGATTCTTCGGAAGAAAGTAGTGAGGTATGTAAAATACATGTTCTATAATGCCCTGACATTATTTTCTGTTATATTAAATGTATGGTGCTTTTCATTAAAATTTATTTTAATATGATACTATACGGAAGCTATCTTTGATTTTTAGAAGCACATAAGTTTGTTTTATCAAATTTCTTTGTCCCACCCTTAAATAGGCTAGTTTAACCTCAAACCGTTACCCTAGACAATACTTAAAGAAATTTGTTAAATATCTCTTTAAATGTTACTATAAAATTAAATTTAATACAACTAAAATACCTATATCACACCTTTTAATAAATCGACAAACTGAAAACTACAATAAATAATAAATGAAGGGTTACATACTCGGTCGTTGTCGTATTGCCGAAATAACATTGGCCGTTTGTTTTTTTTTGCCTGTCTACCTGTTGCCATATCACATCAGGTCACCTGAACTAGGTCAGTGTCAGAGGTCATTGACACTGACATTCACAAACTAAACACAGTACTTTAAAAATTGTTACACTTATTAAAAACTAAATGATTATGTACATTTTGTAAATCAGTTCTGAACATAAATTAGTTTTACTTACAATTAGTAACATATATCCTATCTTCCTATCTATATACAAGTATTAGTTAATATTGTGTTATGTAAAAAATATTAATTTTCTAAAAACACTTGGAATTTTTTTTAATGTTTGGCGTCTCGTCCACATTGACAGAAACAATATGGTGACTTTAAAATAACACGTCCGAGAACGTGTCGCAAAGTCATGCAAAAACAGACTTGTTTTTATGAAATTATTTTCCCTGATAGTTTCGCTTTCTGCTACTCATTTTACAATAATTGTATTCTGGAAATCACGTTAAATTTACACTGTATACCTCCAAATATAATTTAATTCACACAAATGGTTCAAAAGTTATAGCTAAAATAAGTGAACAATAAAATATGGCATGAGCCAAAGTTATTGTACCACAGAAATTGAATATCTCTGACGGTAGAACATTCCTCTTTAACTTCAGATTCTAAGGGTATAAGTTTAAGAAATGTAGCAATAGAAAAATTTACATCAGAGTAGCTCATAAAAACTGGGTTTTACTTTTATAATCAGCAGTCAAAACTTGTTTTGCAACTTGCAACTTAAAAATTTTTAGATTTCTAACAGCACGGTCTTGCAATTCTTGGACATTAATATTGAATTTGCACTCCAAATTCAATTTTGTGCAAACCGAATTCATCGTTTGCAAATTAAATTCGTTAAAATATTTTTAAACCACCAGTCATCTTTCATCATTTAATCCAATACTTTTCCCATTTACCAAAAGAAAACGGTAAAAAATAAACAAGGTATTCTTCAGTTTGCTTCTGCAGTTGATGTTCTATTTTTATTTGAGAATTTTATTGCTAAAAATATTTATATTCCTATAAATTAATCTGAAAATAATTATAATTGATATGTCATCTTTTGAAACAGTAGTTTAATATTTTTCCTTATTATTATTATTGTCATTTTTGTAAGGAAGTAGTTACTATATTATATTTCTGGAGATAATTAACGTTAATGCAAGCATAATTCTCAATGAACAGGTGATAACACCCCAGATTTATCACACTATTTTGTAAATACAAAAAAGTAATGATGTGGATGATGACTAAAATGATTTGGACAAAGACGGGCAAGAATTTGGTAATTTTAAACACATAACACTTATACAGGAAAGTGGCAGATGTCACCAGTTGAGTAATGCTACCAAAAATGGCTTTATTTTCTTTAGTGTGGCAATTCATGCATGGAGTCTTTCAATACATTCACATGAAATCAGTGAGGCTACAATAAGGATATTTTTCTATGTAGGACTACTTAACCATATTAAAAAAGTTAGATATGCAGTGGAAAGTAAGGAATACATTTGCTTAATCATAGCTACTGTTGTCAAATAGTACCTGATATGCAATATAATTAGGAAAACTTAAATATGACAAGTTATTCAATAGTATCTTCGTATATATAAAGAGAGGACAAATATTTCTGAATTTACGCCGCTTAAACTGAGAAAAATATATTTTAAATGATTTTGTGAAGACCTTGTTTGGTTCTATTATTACTTTGGGTATAAATTAAAAGGCCTTTTTATAGAGATTTTTAAATGCATGTTAATAATAATAAATAATGAGATGTTCATTACATTTCAGCTAATAGCACAATGATAAAACAAATAAACTTCTCAAAACAGGAGATCCTATAAATAATTTACAGACATGTGAGTTCAAAGTAGCTTTGTTTGCCTTTGCTTCATATATCTGTAATTTTTTTATCTGATAAATAGAAAAAATTCTGTACAGTCCAATTAAGAGGTAACTAATTTTGTAGAAACTGTTTTATTTATTTTTTTTCGTGTTATCATGTACCTTATTTACAAATGTGTGTACTGTACATTAGCGTCATGAAAAATCAATTTTCAAAAAACTTCTTCATTCTAATTAGACATTTCCTTATTTAATCTATTATCCAATAAGTACCGAAAAAGCCTTGAAATACAAATAGTGATATATATTTTTTCTTTTAATTAAATGGAAGAAGAGTTATATTAAAATTTTTTAGGTGACTAAATCATACTGGTACCAAGCCAACGTTTCGTTTATTTAACATAAACTTCATCAGGACACATAACACCATCGACGTTGTGAATTTTGTGCTAAAATTACGACTTTAATTGCAATCAATTAACGGTATAAGAAGTAAACAATGCTCGAAACAATGTCATTAAAACAATTAACAGATTTACAACAATTAATGTAAAAGACTACATACGTAGGTATTTGTTTAGTTCTTTATATTGATCTGTTAATTATAATAAATACCTATATTTTAAAAATCATTTTACTGATATTGTTTATTTTTTACACCGCTAATTTTTCACAACTATGTTGCTATGCGATCTGAAAAAGTTTATGTAAAATAAACGAAATGGCTTAAGTACGAGATTTAATTTGTTCTCATTCCAACGATCCACATCACAAATCATTATTTTGAGGACACAAACTGCCAAATTTGATTAGCATTTTAAATTGTTTGTATTTATAAATTAAACATATATGTTTCATCCCATTCTGTGACTTTATTAATTTTTCTTAATTTGAAATTCGCAGTGTTGCAAAATAATTTTTTGCAAACATAATTATTTAGGAATAACAAAAAAACTGTTGATTACCATAAAATGTTTACTGTGGAAATTTAATTAACAAAGTTATACATGATTAAAATATGTCCTTAGAAATATATTTAATAATTTATTAGCAAACTATGGTTTATGATAATGCAATATTAGTAAATTCTTTTTAAAAAAATATGGCTGTTCCAATTGTTTTTTGTTTTTTTCATTTAAACTAATAAAATTACAGTAAGTGAGTCAATGATACATTTAAATGTTTAAAAGTTAAACGGCAGAATAATGAATAGGAAATAAAAAAGTTTATTATATATTTTTATCTATGCCTTTATTTCAAACACCCGATAGAATAATTATTGCTAAATTTCGCTACAGTTTTCAGGAACACAAAGTCAGACAAATAGGGCTAGGTTTCAGAATTTCATAAATTAACATGCATAGGAGAAAATTAACCAATCGCTTCTTGTTTTGGACTTATTGAAGAACAGAAAATTTAGATTTTTGTTTTTATTTTTTTTTTCGTATTAGAAAGCCAAAAGAAGTGGACCTTCTTAACTCATATTGTCAGGACACTTTTAAATATGTTGTCTTATTAGTTACACCTATCAAGATGGATTCATATTGGAATCTCGTATTTTAGAGTTCCGCTAATTTTTCTGATTACAATGACATGACATTCTAGTTTACTATTCTACATTCAAGGAATTACAAAATTTTCCACTTTTATAGAGTGCTTTGAAAACTAACCATCTAACTGCGTATTACTCCAAGTGACATTTTGACAGCTCAGTGTAATTTTTATTAAAAACTTCAGAACTAAAAATGTTTTGACATGAAGAAAAGCTTTGAACATACGGATTAATTAATTTGAATGATATGCATACAAAGTTGCATTATTAGTATTCAAAACTTTGGCAGATGGATGTAAATTTTAGTAGATTGGCCATTTTTTAGGTACCACACGCCATATTTCATATTTGACAGACTGTGCTGTCTAGATTTTATCATTTGTGAGCTAGATGGTGTGTTTTCAAAGCACTCTTTATAAAAATTGATAATTTGGTATTTCGATGAAAACAAAAACACTATATATTGTGAATGAACATGAATATAATCCTACTTTTTCCCATTCCCATTTTCTATTAATTGTATGTTAAGTATTGTTTATACTTACTTAAGTATTTCCAACTATTCCCTACAACTTCTAAAATTAAGAGATTGTAAGACTTCCTAAGATTCTATAAGGCATGTTTTTTTCAAAAATGATATTGATTGTTATTTTTGTGTTAAGGAGGAAGAAATTGTGAAGCCGAAACAAGCTAAAAAAAGGAAAAAAGTCATGTCAGACAGTGATTGACGGAAGCAAGTACAGAGAAGTACCTCTGATGTGGTATATAGGGACTCGGGTCGTCATATCAGAAAAAAGCTTGTGATCATAATTCTAAGGAAGTACCTGCTTCTGGTACGGTTTCTTCGGGGAGGAATGGAAGTGAGGAATAACACTGCCCTTACCATCTTTAAGGCAATAATTGTCTTGAAAATAAGAATAACTTTTATGTACCTTAAAAGTTTCAACTAAGAATTTGTTACTGTATCATTTTAGATGTTATGTATCCAAATAATCATTAATTATTGATGTATATTCTGTATTTATATAATTTGTCTGTAAATAATTGTTATTGTTAGATCCCCTGTTTTTTTATGCCCAGGGTTAAGTAAATAGAAAAGTAAAAATCTTTTTAAACAAATTGTAAATTGATTATAATGTTTTATTACAACTGGAAATTGTATATAGAAAATTTGTAAATATATTTATAAAGAGCCTTGATATATTGAATTTTTGTGGATATTTTATAGTTTCTCAGCAAATCTTGTGGGGCAGAGGCAGCTAATGAAAATCCAAGTGGTCATATTTTTATAATGATCTCTTCGCTCACATGGAGAATTTTTGTGATGAGACTGAGATATGAACAGTGAACTGATACATATTTATGTTTTTCTGAAATTTTGCATCAAGAAAGTTTGAAAAATAGAATATGGTAGTATGAAATTGAAATTTAAGTACAAAAAAAATCTCATGAACAATATAAACCTCTGGTTGTATTAAGAAAAAAACAGTATAATGATTATATCACTAGTTCTCATTATGACTGCAAGAATTAGTCCAGCAGTTGAAGACTTGTGAGGGAGAGGGGGTGGCATATTGTTATCTGGTAGGTCTACTAAAGAACGGGGAAAACCCTTATAAAGTCTTGAAGATGAACTCTCTGAATCAATTAGAATGATATGGTTGACAATACGTGATCTGCAGTAATTTTTTTTTTAGCGGATTTTAGGACAATCATGTTTTCATTCAATTTTAGTCATATCAAAAGTTGTGAAAATTTGTATGCAGACTGTATTTCTGGAGCAAATTATGGACATAGTTATTTTAAAATGTCTTGAACAAATCCAAGCATTTTTGATGTTAAATATATATTTATTCTACCAGCTTCAACACAGATCTTTTTAAGCGTTTTCATTGTTTTGAAAATTGAATATATGATGTCTCTATTAAAGGATTTGCTTTGGTTGTCTGTTGTACACCCAAAAACATATATCGATACATTTCAAGAAGTCATTGTTAATACATAATGCCAAAAGGAAACAAAAGTTTAACACACAATGCAAATATGAAATTTACACCACTTTAGAACGCATACGACGAAAGCCAAGCTGATGCTATGAAGATAAATAGCATTACAGGCACTGTGCGGCTTATTCAGACAATATCCACAAATCGCTATTTATTCTCCACGTGACGTCAGAACATGGCCATGATGTTAGCCTAGCTTATAAATGGTTCGACTGGGCCACGTGATCGATCACATATTTAGCTGATTGATCAGATTTTGCATTACAATTATGTATTAAAGGCCTCAAGGCCAACAATCCTTTGTTTCGCAAATTTTATTGTTCTGTGGTTCATTATGAAAACATGACCACTTTAATTTTTACCATTGTAGAGCAAAAAGTTTTCAATTTCTCTAAGACTGTTCAACAGAGAACTGTGTCATTCGTTCCCTATTTCAGAACGTATACATTTATTAACGATCAAAAACTAAGGTTGTATAGCAAATTTCAATGATTGTATAGTCTCAACGGATACAGCTTTCGTTTTCTAACCATTGAAAATATAGGGGTAAGGACAGCAACCAAAATCGAGCAACGTAAAAATTAATACAAAATGACAGTTTTGCCGACAACTGATCATCTTGAAAATTCTCCTCAATACGAAATTTCCCTAAACCGCCCATAAAAAATTTATATGAATCTGTCAAAGTTTTACTAATGAATTCAAGGGTGTGTGTCATCGCCCATTAGTTTTTAACATTTCGTATATTTTTAGTTTTTAATTCACTAATACTGTAATAAGATGTAAACTGTGCCAACACAAATAAGACATCATCAATATCTCCTGCAACCAAAGAGCAACCTGATTTTTATTTTTTTTTGAAGATACTGCTTATTAAAGATGAGCTTCAACTTTTTTTTCAAGAAGAGACACACCAGAGAGGAAAACAGCACTGCAGCGGTTATAGGAAAACCGACAAATGTAAACCATGATATTCATGTTACTGTAAATAAAGAGGGAATCTTGGAAGGTTTACCATCAGCATGGATGAGACAGATTGGTACTCAGATAACTAAAGACGAACAAAAAGAAAATCCCTTAGTTGTTAAACAAGTCCTGCAATATTATAATTATTCTATAAAAAAAGGTAACGAAAATGGACAGGAATATAAACATATTGTTACCGAGAAGGATATTGTCGAAGAGTCCAAAATGATCGATTTGTATATGCATTCAAGAGATGCCCATAAGAGTAAAGATTCAGATTTATCAGATGATTTAAATAAAATCGATGACAATGTAGAAAACAGGTGAGTTATTTATTATAAGTGCACTCTTGTAATAGGAAATAGATAAATAGTACCTATAAGTTTGTTAAATCTCACGTCTGCATCCATTGAGTTTCGTTTTTATTGGTTTTATTTTAGCAGTATTGTCATGTTTACAAGTTTAAATTATTAATAAATTTACTACATATATACTTGAAATCATCATAGTATTGTTGCTTTCAGAAAGATTAAATTTTTCATAATTAGGAATTATTCGTTTTGATAGTACCTACATTAGATTCTATTTTCAACTTCAACAATTTTTGATAGCTTGTCTAAGGAATTGTTTCTTGAACGTACCTGGATAAGATATTTGTTGTCAAAGAATGTTATAATTTCATTTTAATAATTATAGAAAGTTATAATTAATCAGTACTAATTAATTTCTAAATTTGATACGTACTTTCCAGTTAATTGGTTCTTGTTCTTTTGAAAGTATTACTGCCTGTTTTATATTTCTTATGAGCTGTATTCCATGAATATTTCAAAGAATAATTATCTAAATTATATGTATATAAATTTAAATATAAATTATCAGCGTATTTGTGGTAATAATCGTAGTTTAGTGGGGATGACATTTTAAGAACTTGTAACAATTAATTAATTTTAATATTTGGACTAATTTTTATAAGTTACTTAGTTAACTTTTTAGTTTCTACAATCAAAAAGTTTCAATTATAACTAAACAATTTTATTATGAATTTTTCAGATTATATTATTCTTAATGCAAGTGATAAGTACAACTNTAATTATTTCTTATATACTATAGTTGTTATTCCTAATCTGAAATGCAGATCCATGAAAGAACGTTAATGTATGGTTATTAAATCAAAATGGGTTTACCTTGTTCACAAATATTATCTATTCAAACGCAAATGTATCGTCTAAAAGGAAGTTAATAAAGATCTATACAGTACAATATATAAAATGCATATTTACCATCTAATAAACGATTAAAGTTATTTGGATCCTCGATTACTATTTTTTTATTATCAATTTCAAATATTACTTTGTATTTTTTGCAGTGAATCCATTACCAAATTTTTTTATTTACAACTTAACCTATCCAAACCTCTAAAAAAACGAAGTAGTGACTACTAGGTACGAAACAGAAAATACATAAACAAAGATAGAAATATTAACTTAAGATCCAAACCAACCCACAAGTCCGGTTTGATGGTTAGGCAAACTCTGCCAAACCGGGTTAACAACATTTCTCGCCAAAACGGCAACCCGCAACAAACTATAGTTAACCGGGTTAGCGGTTTTCTCGCCAAAAAACCCTTATTGACTTTTAGCTATGATTCATTGCCGACAAGTGGGTTTTTAGCTGTAATGCAATTTGTTATATCTAATACAAATATGTAGAATATTCTTTATGGTTGTACCAAGTTGGAAGTCTATACTGTCAATGATTCTTGAGTAGATGATCAAAAACTGTGCTATTTATAACGACTCAGTTATATGAAAGTATAATCTTGTTTACTCCTTAGGTAACCGTTTTTATTTTACTTTAGGACTTCCCTACCTCCTAGACCTCCAAGAAAAATAGACACCCCCAATCTCGTTAAATCAAAACACCTTGCGCAAAGCACAGAAAACCTAACCGTAGCCGACGATATCGAGTACCGATCAAAGTCCAGTTCCTCAGAGGAAGAATTTCTTCGCAGACACACGGGATTGACAGACGAGGAGTGCATGAAAGAAATTAAAAATATATGTAATCCTGGAGATCCTTACGACTACTACGAGCGCATCAACAAAGACCTCGGCTCCGGAGCCTCAGGCATGGTCTTTGCTGCTGTGGATCGTGCTACGCAGCAACTGGTGGCTATTAAAGACATCGATATGACGAAACAGCACAAGAAAGATCTGTTGCTGAAGGAAATCGAGATAATGAAAAAGTTCCAGCATAAAAATCTAGTTAATTTTCTGGACGCGTTTGTTGTTTACGACGATCACTTGTGGGTTGTAATGGAACTTTTGGATGGGGGTCCCTTGACTGATGTCGTTACGGAAACGATAATGAAGGAGGGTCAGATAGCGGCCGTCTGCTACGAGGTGCTACAAGCAATAAGCTATTTACACGAACGGGGTACAATTCACCGTGACATAAAATCCGATAACGTTCTTCTGGGGATGGACGGGACGGTAAAGGTGACAGATTTTGGATTTTGCGCAAATGTTATAGGAAACGAACAGAGGGAGACTATGGTGGGAACACCGTATTGGATGGCACCCGAGGTGGTTACTAGACAGAAGTACGGCAAAAAAGTCGACATTTGGTCTTTAGGCATAATGATAGTTGAAATGTTAGACGGCGAACCCCCATACCTTAGAGAACCACCCCTCAGAGCTTTATATTTAATCACAGCTAACGGCAGACCAAAGATTATAAGGTGGAACACCTTAACTCCAAAATTGCAGAGTTTTATCGATATATGCCTCCAAGTGGACGTTGATAGAAGAGCGACTGCTGACGATTTGCTGAATCACGAGTTTTTAGAGAACCGCATGGAACTTAAAACACTCACTCCCCTGATAAAGGCTGCAAAGAAGATATTGCACAAAACATAGGCAGTGCACATTTTATACCATTTCATAAATTGATGTATTCACTATGTCGTAAGTTTTTCTCACCCAAAGTGTTGCTTGCAAATATTTTTTTAAGTATACAATTATTACACTGTAAATATCAAGTCTTTTTGTTTCCTAATATGGTTTAGAATTATTTCTTCTTACATCAGTTAATAATTAACTTCAATATTTGGCAGAAAATTCTCGATATACAGGGTGTTCTAGTGAACATATGTATAGAATTTTTTAAATAAAATTTTGATGTAATTCTGTTTTAAATCTGTCGCGTGCAAACGTTCTTGAAGCATTTCCAATGCTGTATGTTAAAAAAATATGTAATAAATAACGAAAGGACTATTTTTAATTTTATATCTGGAATAATCACAAATCATAAAATGTTATCTTCTCTGTGAAGTGTGTAGAGTAGCAGTGCATTTTGTTGATATTGATAGGAGACAAAATACTTACTAAGTATAGTCGGTTAATACTCAGAGCTTAATATTTGTATACTTAAAAAAAATTGTTAGTTAAGACGGTTTAATTAATAATGTCAAACGATAAGTTAATGGATGCTTTATCAATATTATTTTACTGAATTTTCCATTAACTTTTTTGTAAATATCCATTGTGTCATACTTTATTAATGAACCAAATAAAAATTTTAATCATTAATTAAAGAGGAGCGGAATTGCTGTAACAGAATTTTTGTTATGTAAGTATTTCTTCCATATTTTTTAATAAAAATTTTTATTATGTACCTCAACATCATTCAACAATCTAATTTCATCGTACATATGTTAGAAACAGTTGGAAATCATAAATTTTATTTTTGCTTATAAGTAGTTCACACAGTACTTCCTTGTACAGGGTGTGCAGACAATAATTTCTTTATTGTAGAAATATTTAAACTAAAAACAGTGCTAAAGTCATTCCATAGCACATTACAATTTAAATTTATTAAAAAATGAAAATTTCATTAATTTTCAAGATTTCTATAAATAGCAATGAGGAATTTTGACTGAACCTTGTACATTTAAATTTTTCATTCACCGTTGTGATCAAACATTACAAAGTATTATAGAATTCCTTCAGGCTTTGCAAGTCGGAGCAAATGAAATGTATTATTTTTTACCTTCTTTGGATTACTTTAGGCTGAAAAAAATGTGAAAGTGTGTCTCATATAAGTAGAAATAAGGGTGCAAGCTTTTTATAATTGTATGTATTGACCAGTCAATTTTAGAAGTATTTTACTGATTAGTTTATAAGGGTCCAACTTAGTTTACTTAGAACACACAAACTAAAGACTGACTGGCATTTTATGGTCCAATTTTTTGAGAAACCTTTACGAGGATATATTTTATAAAATTTTATTATGGTATTTTATAAAAAGGTGTATATAACGTAATACCTTAAACGTGTGCAATTATTATTTTTTTGTATTGTACATATTTTATCATATTATATTTTTACGATGCTGACGTGATTCAATAAATATGTAATTGTACTCCTTTATTTTATTTTATATCCTTTCTAACAAATAGGTGCTACTCTACAGGATGTTGCAACATTCCTCACATAAACATAGGCCTGCAACTTCTGCGATACGAAATATGATTTTTTTTTTAAATACAGAATTATTCATTAGCATCTATGGATAGCATTTTTGCATACGCCTGCATGTTTCTTATGTGACAAGGCCAGAGATAGAATCATTTTTACGACTTAGGTGTTTTTCGTATGTTTTTACAACAGAAAAACCTAACCTATCAGTTAATTTTTTTATTAGTCGAGAAAATACACATGCAACGAGCGTGGCTGTAGTGTAAAATGTACTAAATAGACAGTGCAAACTTGCGCCAGAATATCTACCTATATGTAGACGCAAATTAATTATTCAATGTTGGTCCATGTGACATGTTTTTGAGGACTAATAGAACTTACGAATTATTATTGAAACGATCCACGTACCTTTTTTCAAATCGGGATGCCTCGTGCCCCTCTTGAGTTTTTGGATGCAGCAACATTGGCTCTAAAGTAAACCGGCTTATTCTCTATGGGTGAGATAGAACCTAAAAAATGCGTTACAGTTTATATATGATCACTGCTACTTGATACCTAAGCGTTCATAAAGCCGAATTGTCAATGAACGACTTACTATGAAAGCAAAACTGATGGTGTGCTTTGTGTTTTGTTTTTACTAAATACTGCGAGTGTAATTCAATGCTGGCTGGAGCACAATCAACAAAAATTTGTTTTATTTCACTACTTGATTTGATTTTACTCTTTTGCATTTTTAGCTGTTTGGCTAGTATTCATCAAAATGTGACTTAAAACATTCAAAAACATTTACATTTACATTTTTTATGAGCTAGTTTAAGTAAGATTGTAATAAAATTGTTTCAAACAGATAAAAACTTTTATTTTTGTTCAAAAATTCACCAGCAAAATCAGAAGAGGTAATATAAAGAGTATACAACTTGATGTTTTGTGGTAAAGAATTTTACATTCACTAAATAACAGAAAAAAATACAAATATAAATCTACTTTCAATGACGCTCTTGCTTACATGGATACATTCACAAAATATTTTTAATTGGTAATGATATTGATTTACTTTTAACTTACCAAGATATTCGATGATAATACAAAACAATAATTGATTCATGACATAAAAACTTATTTTCAAATTTTAAACTCTCTGTTGGTACTATTGCATGAGAATATGGATGTTATTTTAGTTTTAATTTGTTGGCAATCAGAATCCAGAAAACATTTTGACATAAAATATTTTAAAAGTAGTGCAGAAATTAAAGTTGATTATCAAGTTCTTGTGTGGATTTTAGATTAATTTATTGATAAGGTAAGTCACATTTCTAACAAAATTTATGAAAAATTAGTTTATAAGTATTCGCTTTTCTAGTATTGCCCAAAGTTTTGTCTATATTCTACATTATTTGAATAAGATATTGGTTTCAAATTAATATTATTGATTTCACAGTCTTGAATTTTTCAACAAAATAAATAAAACGGGTTTTATAGTAAAATTCTATATTTAAATATAAAGTGTAGTCATTTTATATTTTTATTATGACCAACAGTCAGTTATGAATCGGTTTTCTTTAACTAATTCATTTAGGTAATCTTTCGCAGCAGATTCTTCCAAATGACCGTGCACTACAAGATTATTTATCAGTGCATCTTTTACTCCTTTCACCGTTGTTTTTGCATCACCACAGACGTATACAATAGCACCATTACGTAATATGTTATTTACCAGTTCCTCTCCATTTTTATTCATTTCGTCTTGTACATACCATTTTTTCTCTGTAGACCTTGAAAAGGCTGTATATAATTTTGTTAACACATGTGTCTTTAAATACTCTTCCAGCTCATTATGGTACAAAAAATCTCTGTCAGGGTATCTACAGCCATAAAATAGATAAGTGTTACCCATGACACCATTATCGTTTATTTTCATTTTTTGTCGATGATTTAAAAACCCTATAAAGGGCGCTATTCCCGTTCCTGTTGATATCATTATTAACGGGGTGGTTGTGTCAGTTGGGATTCTGAAATTATTTGGTTTTCGGAAATAGATTGGTATTTTTTCAATTTGCTTGTCACTATATCTAATTATTTCTTCGAGCCATCCGCTACAAACACCTTTCGTTCCGTCATCATTATCGACAATAAAAAATGTAATTTGTAAAGCATTGTTTTCTAAAGGAGATGATGATATGGAATAATATCTTGGTTGTAATGGCAATGAATGTTCTAAAATTATTCCTATCGGAGGATTACAAGATGGGAATGTATTCAGTAACCCCAACAAAGTGTGTGCTTTTCCAGTGATAAGATCTGCATATTCGTTAGAGCCCTTCGGAGAGCAGAGTTTTTCCAGTAAACTGATTTCTTCGGGATCTCTGGTAAATGGAATGAGTGCTTTTAAAAATAACTACAAGAGCATATAGTTAGATGTGAATCTTGAAATGCAATTAGACAAGCTTACCTTCTTAGGAGGTTTACGTATGTCAATGTAGTACGTGAAAATATCTTTTAAAACACCCTGTCTAGGGATATGTTTTGGTAGTGTTGCACTCTTTTTTGTAGTATTTTCTAAAATACCTAACTCGTATAGCTTTTCCTTGTCAGACTCTATATTTAATCTAATCAGTATTTCGTCAACCTCTCGATCATCGTTACGAGGTAGAATACCAATTGTATCGCCTGGTAAGAAATTATATGAGATTGTCTGAAAGGACAACATGAAATAAAGTGCATATATTTATTTACATAAAAAATACCATAGTACTAAGTTTTAAGTTATAAACTCTTTTAACATCCTGTCCTTGTGTTAACAATTTAAAATTTTCAATTGTAACAAGAAAAACATCGCTATTCGAAAATGGTTTGTTCCTAAATTCGTAGTGGTTAATCTAAAAATTATTGAATTAAATTTAGAAAATGTGCTGAAATATTATATTACTTTTTCTAAAGGCTTAAGATTATTTACAAAAGTCAAATTCAAATAATTTGACATGTTTTTAATCGTATTTAACCTAACAAATGGAAGTGCGCATTGCATCTATCCACATGACAGACGTGACATTTACTAGTTTTCCCTTGTTTGTGACTTTTGTGAGAAAACTTGAAGCAAATTTTGTGCGACTTGAATTTTGTATAAATTTGTAATAATTCAAATTAAGCTATTTTGTAAGTACTTAATAAAGCAATAATAATTCATTTTTTACAATTTTTTAAGGAAATATATGTACGCTTAATTAGAAACCAAATAACCTTCATTCTGTTTCGAGAACTTTTTATAAGGGCTCATGTCATAAAATAATTTAAAAGTTTGGTAGTTAGTTATACATTAATCCATATCTGATATAATTTTATTTTACTTAGCCGACTTTTTTAATTCCGCATATTAGGCATATGAGAAACTATCACTAAGTTGGGAGGTATCTATCTATACTTTTAACATCAAAGTTATTTGTATTAATTTATCTATCTATACAGTTATCAATGATATTTAATAATAAAAATGTACTTGATTTCGATTAGTCAGTTTTGTGAACAAATTGCTTGATTTCCAAATTCGGAATTTAAAATGCCCGCCGAATCAATTTTGGAAGTCAAAGTCGATAAGGTGATTAAGTACTGTAATGGTCCGTTAGATGGCCCCTGAATTTGTCAATTGAGAATCTTATTTCATAGTTTCCTAATTATATCGTTGAGACGTATCTCTGAGAGGAAAAATCATTTTTCTAATTATTTGTCGGAAATGCATAATAAAGTAATGAGAAACTTGCAAAAGTTCAATCTTTTTCAGTGTTCTATTGGGTTTTAGAGTGAAGCAGGCCTTGGCTTCAAGGAACTTGCGTTTGCTCTGTTCACGATTCCGTTGCGCGCCGCTGTTGGTTGTTAATGGACGAGTGCGTTGTTCGGCTGTTTTTAGAAAAGTCGCCATTGTTGTTCAATAAAATACGCTGAAAAATTACAATTACCCTTTTTTCGTTTAAGATTTGTTAAATAAGATATTGTTAACGTAACTATAAAGGTAGTGGGAAGTTGTGAAAATAAAATACAAGTGAGGTATCTTTGTAATAAGTGTGTAAAGTGGTGCAATGTTTGTTAGATGCGTATTCGGTCTATGAGCTGAGCTCCGTAGTACGTTTCGTAAGCTTGTACTCGTCACGTGGGAGTGTACCGTTCAAAATACATTTTAGTTACGTGTAATTAAAAAAAGTGCAATAATTGAAGTTTTTACTATAAATAATTTATAGCAGAGTATTTCTACAGTTTCCCTACTATTTAACGTGTTTTTAGGCACATTGAATATAGCTTCAGGAAGTTTCACTTTTATGTTTTCGTTATGGAGTTAGCCGGCGACTAGTTCTAAATTTTTAAATAGCCACAGCTGTATTTATTTATGGAATTTAATTTGAGTTTATTGATCAAGTACTCTGACCAACGAGTTTTTTTTGCAGTTGTTAGTGACATGAAAGACTTTGTTATTAAAACTGGATGAATGGGATTGCGTACAGCCTCGGTGAGGCGTCCCCATGTGGCGGTCATGGCCCCAGCCCTAACAGAAACAGCTCAAACCCAAAACTTTAATTTACCATCGAAAGCTCATTTGGAACCGGCATCTCCAATAAACAGTTACGAAAAAAATAACAAGTACCAGGCTACTACAAAAGAAGCATATTATAAAAGTGATGATCATTTAAGCCCTTTCAATTTGGAGAGTGATGAACTGAGTAATGCAATTGGTAATCTTAACACGCTTGTTTTGGCTTCAGAGAAATTTATACTGGGTAAGTGTTTGACTGAAATAAGTGGTGCCTCGGACAACACTTCAAACCAAAATTCCAATATAATGAGCCTTAGCCCATCACCTATGGGCGACCAAGAGAATAAAATGGGTCTTCAAAAAACTGGATTGGATGTTTCCAGCATACATAAAAGTTCTAGTGATGTAGACCAGTTGTTAAATAATTTTGGTTCAGTGTTACCTGAATCGGAAACGACAGGTGATTTAGGACATAATGTAGATGACATTATGCAGGTGATTAAATCTATAGAGGGCAGTGAAAGGTTAAACAATACCCCCAATGATTTAAACAGTGAAAATGACGAGGTATTTCCTATAGCTGGAACAGATTTAACGAATAATTTATCTTCATTCGAAAAAGAACTTTTGGAAGGTGTTGATATGATGAATATAACTATGGAAGATCAACAGGATGAACTAGAAACGGTCGATAGGCAGAAAGAATCTCAAGCCAAAGAAGTACTAGCTGATTTACAAAAGAAACATGCGAAAATAGAAAGGCGGTTAGACTTTTTAAGAAGACGTGTTTATAAATTACAGAGCCGATTTATGGGGCAACATATCAGTGGTGAGATAGTAGGAGTTTTTGAGAATGTTCACAGAACACTAAAAAGGACAAAGGAGACTTACGAGATTCCAAAACAAGATTCGCTAGGTGGAACGTTAGTCGGTAACGAGTCTCTAATAGTAGAAAAACCAAAACCGATGTCTTATGGATCTGCCAAAACGTTGGTGCGGAAGTTAGAGATGTCTGCAGTTGTACAAGCTAATACTGCATCTAGGCAAAAACATACTTCGAAATACTTTGGATCAGGATCTGTCGAATTGCCCACATTCCGTAGCAACGTGTCTGGTATGCTCACTCTACTACCTTGGCCTGTAGAAGCCAAATATGAACTGCAAAAGGTAGCAGGGCAATTGCAAACGCAACTAGGATTGGTGCAAGAAGAAGTTGATTCTGAAGCCACCGAGAGTAGCTCTGGCAGTGAAAGCTGTGATGAAATGCAAAGTTACAATAATCCTCATCAGCAGTACCTTAGTATGTAAGTAATTTTGGATAATATTTACATAACTAGGTACTTCCTCATATCACATATTTGAACAAGCTCAATTTCGAAGGTATTATCTGATAAGAAAGTTAGTAATGCCTAAAATATTAATTGCTTATTAAACCGGCTTGTTAAATAAGAAAATCATTATCGCTAATTTCACAATAAATTCTTAAAAATTATTTTTGAGAGTAATAGTTTTGTTATTTAACTCTAAATTTACATCGCGTCACATATTTAGTATTTAGACCTAGATCTTTTGTAAATATAGATTTGTATGTAATTAATTTTGCTTCTGTTTCAACAGTCTTAAAAATTGGGACTAGCATTTTCCAAAGTTACATAAAAAATGATTTTAAATGAACTTGTGTCACTTTTTAATAGTTTTTAATAAACTTTTATTTGTATTATCAAGATACTTCAATAATGTTTTTTTATTTCTATAAATTTTATAATTTTTTGTGATGTTCTATTTGCCCATTTGAAAATTGGGGAAAAAATGTTTTCATTTAATTTTTCTTCAGAATGGTATAGTAGTTTTTATATATCTACCTATTTGGTATGTAAACGTTTTGTTAACTAATGTTTTAAATCAGGGAAGAAATGTCAGAAAGCGCCTCATATTTTGGGGTCTTGAATTAAATTATTAAAAGATATAACGACTCCCTTTAACATTTAATATAATTTTTGTCATAAACATTTTAATTTTTGTTATCATAGTTAACAAAATATGATAGTGTCCACCACTGTTGACTGCTGGCTAATGAATTTATAATGAAGTTGTCTGCTACAAGTTGATTCATGTTCATCGCCTTTAAATTTAAAAACATGTTAATGAGTGCCATTCGAGTACGACTGTAAAATATAAAAATTTATTATCGAATTGCACGCACTGATATGAATGGATATTGAAATACATATAATGAAACGTTTGGCGGCAAACGTATTGTTCCAATGACCTTGAACGCATATGCGGGTTTGATTAAGTAATGAGTCAGAAAAAGATGGTAGATAGAATTTACAAACATCAAGAAATAACAGCGGAGCGGATACAGAACCTAACTGATTTTTTATTTCGGTTGTAGTTAGGTTTAGCAGCAGGAAGCCATAGGAGTAATTAATTGTGCAAGCTTGAGTAATATTTGAGTAATACTTTAATTAATTATTTTCGTGAGCGTTTTAGTGTACAAATTTTGATTGGTGCTTTGTCCCGTCGTTTAGCATTTAGGTACATTTTAGTGTATACTTAACATTTTCTTTATTCAAAATAGGTAAAATGACATTTATACCTACACCAAGCTTAGAGACTTATATGATTATATGCCTTGATTTAATAAAATCCTTGATAAAATTATCACACCATTAAAGACTGCAAAGTTGATTTTCACGCAAACAGCTGATCTGATTTTAACTTTGACCCTTTGTTGTAATTGTAAGTTTGTTCCTCGGAAATAACTAGAAATTTGTAATGACATTACATTTTTAAGCATACTATAACGGATGTAAAAGAGAATAAGTTTTTTCTTCATTTTTTTCTTAATTTTTAAACATTGTAGTCCTATCTTTTTATTTTTTCATTTACATCGTTATCTCTACTATTAAGTAATTGAAATACACAGTTAAATTAATGCGCTATTATTGCAAAACTAAAAACTTGTAAATTTGCAGTGAAAACAATTTTTTGCTGGGTCTATATTAAAAAAAATAGATGTCACGTTAACTCTATAAAATTAGCGACCCACTTAGCACAAAATATTTCAAATTGTAGAACACTAAAAAACTTTACAAAATTGGATTCTTACTACATCGTACGTTTTTGGGGAAAAAATAAAATATACCATGTTTGTATTACTAAAAGTTGTTTTTTAAGGAATGATAATAATTCAGTCACTTTAACCATGAAATAATCACGCATTTTCATTAATTTTGAACATCCTGTATCTCGAAAATGAAGCGTTTTCGTTTATAGGAACTGTTTTGCTTAAAATCCGCCAATAAAGCTTGGGCAGGCATTTTAGTTACACTCTATATAACAAATAAAATTATTGCGGCTATTTATTAAGTTCGTAACAATGCCGTTTTAAAAGAATGTATATTTTCAACTTTAGAATGAATAATAATAAACATATTGTTTACGATTGCATATTCGGTAATTATTTCCTGCTTAACCTTCTGTGATCGGCTGTTGATTACAATGTAAAATCGAGAGTATAGCCAATATATTGAGTGACAAGAGTATGTACGAGTGCATAGTTCATTGAAAATTTTTCGTAGATAATAAAATGGTACAAATATATAAGCAGTCATGTAATACTAGTCACTATATTAGTGACTGGCAAACTTATTTTGTAACATAATTATTTTTATTCGACTTTTCTGAAAGTTGCAAACGTATTTCACAAACAAATCGACCTTAAGATAAAATCGAGGATAAAAGAAATCTCACTAAGTAACTTTTTCTTAATATTTAAGGATTGTGTCTTAGTAATTGTATTTAGGTGTTTTAAATGTTGAATTTAAGGAAAACATTACCAGTTTGTAACTCTTTAATGATAACCCCGGGAAGTTCAAATATTTGCGACTTTGCCGTTGTACAGGATGTTTAATCTTTCGACCTACTTTACGTAAATCGGGTTCGTCAAATTTAAATAACAATACAATGGTTTGAAGGAACAGCACAGCTATTTGTAACAGTAAGATTCGTTTTTGTGTGAGCTCCTAAACGAAAAAGAGAGATGTTTATATTTCGTACAAATTGAACACTTCTTGCGGTGGATTAATCAACCCTTAGTGCCGTGAAAGCTGTAAAAATAAATCCTGATCAATATCAAAATAATTATGTGGCATATTTTTAAGCCACTTACGCATAATAATACAAAGACTGAAGGGTAGCGAAAGGAAATAATAATTTTCCGCCTTTCAACATCGATAAATTTAACGAATTAAAAAAAGGAAATTGTAAGTAATACTTTGTTATTAATATAAACGATGTTATAGCTTTTCTTGTATCCAAATATTCTTAACTATAGGTAGATGTTTTTTTTTTCTTTAAGCTCATTTACAAAAAGTTGATTAAGCTTTATAACGCACTGCTATAATTTCAATTTATCGCGAGGTATAAATATTTATTTGTCCAGTCAGTGGTGCAGCCAAGGGAGACTAAGGCGCAAACTTATTGAAAAAACAGTACAGAGATAATAATTGTTCACAATGTCCACCATTTTGCCGAATACGTTTAAGAGCTATCAAGAAATTCCACACTTATAATGTCTCAAAATTCTTGTGTTTTTCGATTTTGCATATATTGTTTACTCTTCCCCACAATATTTTGATCGATCGAGGAATCTTGCTACCCAATTGAATGGTCTTATCCGAGGTCTTATCCTATCCATTTAGATACAATGAAATGTATTGATTTAAAGTATGTATTGTATTATTAAGAACGTGCAAGAACGGGATAAGTGACTTGTAACTTATACCTATTGCACAAGTTTATAGCATGGGATAACTCTTATTCTTTTTGATTGAAAGTATTACTTAAATGTTTTGATAAATTTAAAGTGTTTATAGATTGTTGGTAAAAGTACTGAGGTTTTTCTTCGATGAACAGTTGATGAAATATTTATATCTTTACGGAAGTTACGTCATATCTCGTCAGTCAGATGTTTGCTTGCATGTGTTTGGAATACAATCGTAATGGTGGTTTATCACAATACTATTTTAAAAATTTACATTTCACTACATTATCTCCAGGTATTTTGTACCTAATGTATGTTTATTGAAGCACGAAATTCGGTGTACGCGTTGTGAAAATCGTTTTTATTCGATCTGTTTACCTTATTTTTGTATGGGTTACACTGGTTACAGTTTTTTACGCAGTTTGCATGTTACACCGCATATATAGGATTAACAGAATATAGTTCAGACCTGAGCCTATGAAGATTCCACAATAGATGATGATGATGACAAGGCGAAGTTTTGTGGACCATAAACAGGTGGACCAACTGGTTAATTCCGGTTATATGCTACCATTAAAAACTACGTGAACTCGAAACTTGCCTGTAATATTTAGTATGTACCTAGGTAATAAATATTTCAATAAGACTGTTTTCTGGGGGTCCACGTACTTTGTAGGTTTTTGGGAAAATAACTGCTCTGGTTGTTTAATCACAGATTAGCTTAATTCACGCTTTTCTTATGGAAATTTGAATGAATAGTAAAGTATAAAATTAAATATGAATACATTCGTGGTTAAAATAATTTGTATTGTTGCGTCTTGACTAAATATTAAAAAATAAAGTGATGGTAAACTGAAATCGGATGTTAAGCAGTGATTGAAAAATCAGCTATTATTTTGACACATTCAAATCACAAAATAGAAATACTTTGGTTAACAATAAATAAATGGTATGAAACTTTATTTTTAAACATACGTTCAAGATAGTTCTTGATTATTTATATATAATAACATAACATAAATAATGAACAAGGCGTGTCAGGATGACCTTTGTTTAAAAATATGTAGAAGGAACTCAATTTAAAATAAAAAAAAAATATGCTAGCATGAAATGTTCAGAATCCGAAATAAAATTGTAAACGTTTCGAAATCGGATAATCTAAAACTTAGACTAGTTTCTGGTATTTTTGTTATCATATACTAAGGATAAACAAAAATAAATGTCGCAAATACTAGATAAGAGACAAAATAAAATTCCTCGCATGCTATTTATATAATTTCTTTTTGCACAAGTGACTCACGGCATTACCTAGTTGTATTATTCTCCACTTAGTAAATGGTATTCACGAAAAAACTAGTGTTTAAACTTAAATGAATCATAATTAATAATTAGCGTGTTGATGCAGCTTTATGACTGAGAGTTATACTAGGTGAGTCACGTATTTCTTTCGGTAAATATCAAGAGCATAAACTTGGATCAAAAGTCGTACATGTTGAACTGATAAGTAATCTCTCGTATCTGATATGCATTATGCATACAACTTTTATGAAATGTAAAAAAATTTGTTGTCAAGTAATCGTAATTATCGGAAACTAATCATGCTGTAGCGTTTTTTACTAAATTGTGTGTTTCATGTAGGTGTATAGAATATGGTCGTATGAAAGGCATACGATATTATTTAAGAAAAGGTGGTAGCGTGTTTCTAGCGCGCAAAGGAATATCATTTGTTATCAAGTTTTTTGAATAGTTTTTAATTAACATAAATTATGTCTCGTTGCGGAGGACGAAATACAAATTCTTGAGAAACGCTATTAAGTGGATAATTCAGATGTATTAAAAACTGCCTTCCAGGCGGGTTAGTGTCTGGAATTTGAATAGTTTTAGAGAATTTGTAAGAGTGAAGAATAAAATTTATAGCTCATTCACGCGATACTAGAAATGAAGAAGTTCTTTGATATTACCGAAACCAGAACCGAACCTCAAAGTTTTAAGCCGAAATAGGATATTTTGCCGAAAGTGTTTATATTTTACCATACAACCTATTGTTGCTTTTTTAGAAAAAAAAAAAGGTATAACTTCCAAATTTTGTAAATCTGTTTGTGAGTCTCATATCAGTGAAATAATATACAGACTTAGCCTTGTTTTCTTTATTAGGAAATACTTATATAAACAAGATAAGAAAAATTAAGCGTTAAATTTTTGATTGCAAGAAGGAATACATTGTCTCAAAACCGGCTCAAAACCGCTGAAAATCTAACAAACAGATTTGTGAATCACTTGAAACGGATCGATACAACGTAATATGTCAAAAGTTCGGCTTTTTTATTTTTTAAAGCTATTTTAGAACTTTTGACATATTACGTTGTGTTTAACATCTTTTTTTCAACAAAATGTTCGATTATTTTTTTTTTTTGTGGAACGAATAGTTTTACAATTTATTCAAAACTTCAAGGGTCCATCTGTCAGTATTCGTCCGACATTCATAGACCAAATGAAATATGACCTGTATACTTTTGCGGGAAAACGTTCGCAGTCACGCAGAAGCCGTTTACAATCCTGCAGATTTGACAGGAAATTGTCGATAAAAAATCACAAAATTCATTTTTCGAAAACCGATTTAAAAAATCAGCATGCCATGGATTTGTAATCTGGGTATCATTCGATAAGTACCTAAGAGAGTTCCATTTTAAAAAAATAATAATTGAAATCGCACAACTCGGTCAAATTTTACGGTACTGAATTTTTTTTCTCGAAACCCAGATTCGACTGCATAAAATAAACTTCAGAACTTACTGCCTCTTGTTTTTTGTAGAGATACAAACTAAGAATTAAAAGGAATAATCAAATGCTTTTAACATCTCCCCCTGTTAACTTATTTGTACGACAACTTGGCAAATATACGTCAAATATTTGGAATATTTCAGAAAATAAATGCTTTTTAATTTTATTGCTATCTTCAAAATCAATTACCACTTTTTGAATTATATTTGGAAAAGGCAATAACTAGAAAATTTCAGTTTATGTTTTGACGATTCCCACTTCTGATATTAACAAAAATAAATGTTCATCCACGCGCNCTATTTTAGAACTTTTGACATATTACGTTGTGTTTAACATCTTTTTTTCAACAAAATGTTCGATTATTTTTTTTTTTTGTGGAACGAATAGTTTTACAATTTATTCAAAACTTCACGGGTCCATCTGTCAGTATTCGTCCGTCATTCATAGACCAAATGAAATATATTGACCTGTATACTTTTGCGGGAAATCGTTCGCAGTAACGCAGAAGCCGTTCATAATCCTGCAAAATCACTAAATTAATTTTTCGCAAAACCGGTTAAAAAAAATCAGCATGCCATGGATTCGTAATCTGCTTATCATTCGCTGATAGACTAGGCGGTATCTGTTTTGGTTTGGGTGAATCGTATATCCACGGAGATTTTTGGCTTTTTGGCTTTCAAATATCACTAGAAATTAAAAAATTTTTATGCGCATAAAAAAAACGTGGGCTTAACTTTTAGCGGCACATATGTTAAAAAAATTCGAAAAATATCATATTTTCCTTCCTATTTAATTATGTATCTCCAAAAGTTGATTTTAGGCGAAAATGGAAAAGGAAAATAATGTTTGTAATTAAATTTTTTACAAAATATGACTAGTTACAAATCGAATGAATCATTATTATTGTAAAAATCGAAAAAATTGCCAAAAATGGGGTTTAAAACATTACTTTTTAGGGAATTTTTTTGGGGTCTTTAAGTTGGGTATAGGACCTTCAAACTTGGCTCAAGAAAACTTCATGTTATGTAGAATCATCGCACGAAATTTCATCAAAATCGGTTCTATAGATTTTGCGATTAGCCCGGATGTCACAGTACATTTGGTGTAAATGACGGTTAACTCTGATCGGCTATAATTACGTAATTAATAGACCAATCGATCTGTTCTTTTTTTAAAGAAGCGTCTCCAAGAACTTTTAAAACCTAAAAAATTTGATTTGGTTGAATATTCAGTTATTCTAATTGTTTATAAGTACAAAAATTCGACCAATGTTTAAACAAGAGCCAGAGCTCTCCTAATTGACGGATTCGAATTTTTCAAAAAGCGTTTGAAAGCTTGAGAGCCCTTCTATATGTGATTAAATTTTCAAGTATCTGCAAAATGTTGAAAATTTGCAAATTTTTTTTTCAAAATCCGGATTGCAAAATCTATCGAACCGATTTTGAAGAAATTTGGTGTGATGATTTTACATAATATGAAGTTTTCTTGAGCCAAGTATGAAGGTTCTATACCCAATTTAAAGACTTCAAAAAAAATTCCCTAAAAAGTATTGTTTTTTAACCCCACTTTTGCGATTTTTTCGATTTTTACCATAATAAACATGATTCATTCGATTTGTAACTNTTTTATTTTTTAAAGCTATTTTAGAACTTTTGACATATTACGTTGTGTTTATCATCTTTTTTTCAACAAAATGTTCGATTATTTTTTTTTTGTGGAACGAATAGTTTTACAATTTATTCAAAACTTCAAGGGTCCATCTGTCAGTATTCGTCCGACATTCATAGACCAAATGAAATATGACCTGTATACTTTTGCGGGAAAACGTTCGCAGTCACGCAGAAGCCGTTTACAATCCTGCAGATTTGACAGGAAATTGTCGATAAAAAATCACAAAATTCATTTTTCGAAAACCGATTTAAAAAATCAGCATGCCATGGATTTGTAATCTGGGTATCATTCGATAAGTACCTAAGAGAGTTCCATTTTAAAAAAATAATAATTGAAATCGCACAACTCGGTCAAATTTTACGGTACTGAATTTTTTTTCTCGAAACCCAGATTCGACTGCATAAAATAAACTTCAGAACTTACTGCCTCTTGTTTTTTGTAGAGATACAAACTAAGAATTAAAAGGAATAATCAAATGCTTTTAACATCTCCCCCTGTTAACTTATTTGTACGACAACTTGGCAAATATACGTCAAATATTTGGAATATTTCAGAAAATAAATGCTTTTTAATTTTATTGCTATCTTCAAAATCAATTACCACTTTTTGAATTATATTTGGAAAAGGCAATAACTAGAAAATTTCAGTTTATGTTTTGACTATTCCCACTTCTGATATTAACAAAAATAAATGTTCATCCACTAGCAAATTTTCGATTTATGAAGAGCATCAATAATTTTCTTATCGACTAACCCCCGTTGTTGTTGCAGACAAAAACGGGCCCTTTGGAAATACTCGACCGAGCGAGCAGCCATCGCCGCGAGATGGACGTGGCTGCAGGCGCAGATAGCGGACCTGGAGTACCGCATCCGACAGCACACGGACCTCCACAAGCAGATCCGGTCGAGCAAGGGCTCCATCCAGCTGGGGGGCACCAGCCCGCCGTCGACGACCGTCCCCTCGTCGCCCACCACCGTCAACGGCTACCGCGGACAGCTCCCCGGCAGCTCGCCGCTGTCCGCGAAGGTGATGGATAACCCCGCCGGCAACGGCGCCTTTTCAGAGTACCAGTACCAATGTTCAAGAACTAGACCTTTAGTGAACTTTAGAAAGAGGAAGTTGCTGCAGATCTCGGGTCTGCATGCGGTGTCGAAAAAGGCCGCGAGGCCGAGCACGATTCGGTGCGGGTGTGTTCCATTGAGTGTGCCGTGCGCCCTTTGCACCGGACGGACGGATCCCACCCACCCCAGGGACCCGCCCGACACCCTCAGCAAGTCGGAGAGGGTCGCACTGCTGGATCCTTGCTTCCATCCGGTTTTTTCATTGCCCGAAGGTAAATACATTTTTATCACCTTTAATTTTTCAATGTTGGAGTTAAATAGGTAGTCACCAAATTGTGTATGGAACAGTAAAAACAGTAAATATTAATTTTGTTGCTTTATTGTAACTAAAGTTTTATGTGTTTTTTATCAAAGTTCAATGTATTCAGCGATACCTAAACACATAGGAGTTGGTTGTGTAAACAGCTTGATTCTTATCAGATTTATTTCTAAAACTGCAAAGGTCTTAAGAAAAAATACTTTTCGTTGAAAAAAATTATTAAAAAACTAATAGAAGTGTCCATAAAAATGTTAATTTTTTTTTTGTTTAAATTTTGAGAATCTTGCAGGAATATTTTTTCTCTGTATTTGTGTTGTTTTAACAAAGAATTGAGGAATAAGCATGGAATGTATGTTTACCATGAAATGAAATCTCACTTTAATGACCCAAAAATTCATATATTGTTGTCTGCCTTCTTTTTTTTTTCTTTAAAATGGCATCTAGGAATCATATTTCTAATTTGGATGGAAACTCTGTATTTCCGTAATATTCAGCAAAATGTTTAAGCTGATTGGTTAGGATAATAGCTTCAGGTATAGCCTCTGTTGGTACTGGAACCTCATCGACATCAGAATCTTCAGAAAATTCTTGTATTTCAACTGGATTTCCAATTTCTAATCCTGAATCTGGATCTTCAACATACAAATTTTCATCTAGGTTCAAAAAATCGGTTTTCATTATCAACAAATTCTTATTTTTGGATCACATGTAACATCCTCAGTTAACTGATCTTCACTTTGCATATTTTCACGGTTAAATCCTGTTTTACTGAAGCAATTTTTAACTGTTTCATTTTATTTTGTTTTTTGTGCGTTTAAAAGAATATTTTCTTGTGTCCGCGTCCGTTCAAGAGAATGTCTGTCTAAGAGGGAGTTAACACAATGCAAATTATATGAGTTTCTCGTTTGGAACCACGAGAAACTGTCTGTCCAAGGGAGGTGTCCGTGTAAGAGGAGTGTCCGCGAAGGAGAATTTCACTGTACATAGTTTTTACTTTTCTCTATTCGTTTACGGTAAATTCTGACACAAACGCTCGAAGAATTGAAAAAAGTGTTATTAGCTCTTTATATAAAATTAACGAATTGCCTCTATTTTTTTTAAACATAGGTGGAGCAAAGAAATGGTTTTGATGACAAATTCTGATGCAAACAGAATTATAATATTTTAAAGAGTGACCGAAAAATCACCCGTTTTTCACAATTCGCAAAAAACTGAGGAACATAGATAAAAATATGTTTTTGGTTTCAAATTACTTGTAAAAAATTAAGATGAGCATAGCTTTTAGTTTTTTGAAAATTTTCAAAAATCACTCCTATTTAGGGGTTGAAAAGACGCCCAAATTGAAGAATTGAGTATTACCCATAAATATATAAAAACTATTAGCATGTGCATTTTTTTATTGAATTATTCTTGATACAAAGAAAGATTTATTCTCATGATAATAAGCATATTGAATTAGAAAATCCACCCTTAAGCGCGCTCAGAGGGTGGAATCATCCCCAAAAATAGACAATATCAGAAACAATTGTAAAAATTCCAAAAAAAATATATGTATTAAGATAATTCACATGCTAATAGTTTTTATATCAATTGGTAATATTCAAATTCTTCATTTTTGGCATTTTTTCAACCCCTAAGTAGGAGGTGATTTGAATACTAAAAGCTGTGCTCATTTCAGTTTTTTCCAAAAAGTAATTTGTGACCAAAAACATATTTTGTATTTTTTTAAATTTTCTGCAAATTGTGAAAAAACGGTTTTGTAAATTTTTTGTTATTTCACATTCTTTAAGCATTTAATTTACTAAGACTATTCGGTTTTATGGCTTTTATGGCTCGTGCTGTTACTTATAGTCTGATGGTTTTTCGAGTTTCTATGCCATGACCTGTGTATAGGGTTGCCAGATCTATTTCATGACAGACCCGGAGAAATTGATGTCAAAAAAAAAAAAGGTCTACAGCAGCCAAATTGATGTGTAAAAATAAAACAATCAGATCTGTCAGGAAAATAAATTTCGGGGGTAGGACGTCTTAACCCGGAAATGACATATTAACCCGGAGCCCGGAGATGTACCCCGGAGACCTGGCAAGCCTACCTGTGTACCTGGTCGCTGCCAGTTACGCACTTAACAGTGCACTTCTGTAGCCTTATACAGGGCCCAGGTCTGCTCCCACAGAGCCTAGCCTGAGAACAGCAGGGATAGGTCAGCGAGTTTCAATTAAGACTAAGAAAGTCTGTAACTTTATATAAGACTTTTACTTCTTTTTACCTCAGGAACGTCCCTATCAAGTTTGTGAATTTTCAGTAAATAAAATAGCTATATGGTTTTAAAATCTTGATGGTCAGGTAAATCTACATAAAAAACTTTAAATATTTTAACTAACTCACAGTGTTCAAGTTATGGCATATAATATATTCAAAGAATAAGATGTAAATTGTTTAGAATTGTCATAAAATATAGATTTTTTCAAATTTCAAATAAGTTAATTGCTACGTAAAATAATCTTTAAAGTAGTGTCAGAGTCCATGCGTTTGCATCAAACATGTACAAATATTTGACACGTGTTAATGATTTGTTTAATTAATGAAAAATAATGGTAAAAAGACATGTTGTATGCGACACAGCAGTAAAGTGTTTATCGAACTGGTGTGATATATCCGGACTCATCCGATAAAGTATCGCTTTATGCCTTGTTGCATAAATTACTTGTTTTTCTGCAAACCTCCTCACAATCATATGATGATGATAAAATGATTACTGTGCGTACTAGGAGTCGTTTTATTTATGATTTTAACCATACCTGTTGGTCATAATGTACAGAGTCGAGATTCACAAGTGTTTTACTCGTAAATATGGAAAATTTTTCGAAAGAAAAGTGAACATAGGAGTTTTTTATTAAATCCAGTAATAATATAAATTTGAAGCAAGATAATGTTACTTCACACAAATAAAATTAGAGATAAAATCAATGTCAGTGCCAGGCACTTGAATAATGTAACGCAAATAGCCATGAATATATGGGAGTACTACTGTATATACTGGAGTTGATATTTAAATTTTTAATTTTTTTTATTATCAAGCTCTTGTATTTTTACATTAAAATAATTTAAAATGTATTCATTTATGTAGCAATTTGGGAATATTTAAGTATTATTTAAAATACTTAAAATTTTCTTCAGATTGGTATTTGTTTATGTTTCTTTAAATTTTTGCTAATTTTGACAATATTTATTGATGATTTACACGTCTCAATGTCACTGAAACAATTTCAACAACTAACTAAAATTAGTATAGCATGTAAATGTTTTTATTCATCGTGAGTATTGGTATGGACCATTCAGGACACTATAAAATGGAACAGTATTTGGAAAATCAGAAAAAAGTTTTTCTAATCAAAAACTATTTTTCACGGTTTGTTACAAATTTATTACTATTTTTGTTTTATTTTTCCTTTCAAAATTGAAAAATGGCATTTAATATAGTTGTCATAGATGAGCATCTGGTTTGAAATGATTTACATTTTGTTAAGCTGTGTGGTGGATGTACCTTTATGAAACCGACAGAAAATAACCAGATGGCCCAAATGTAAACATGTGTGGAAGCAGGTATATACAGGGTGTTCTGAAATTAATGCAACAAAATTTGGTCACAGATTCTTAAGACAAATTTAGGGGACCCGTATTGTTTATTTTTGCTAAGTGGGCCCCTCTTTCGGAGTTGCAGCCCCCTGAAATCCACCCCTAAGAATAGTCTTTTTTTTATATCAGAATTCCGTTGTACGAGAATCACTAAATTTGGTATACAGGGGTTTCATCACACGTGGAATCTGATAATGCTACGCTTTTTTGGCGGGGAAGAATCCCATTAAGACAATTTTTCGTAGGTCCTCTTGTCTTTGGAGCAAAAAAAAATTTGGTCGCATATTTAAATTTCTTAAAAAGGATTAGTCTCCTAGAAAACCATTGCATTTAGAAACTTTTTTGTCCCTTGATACTTTTTTCGTAAAACTCAATATTTTCGAGAAAAATGTCAAAATGTGATCGAATGCTTATCGTGATTCTCCATTTTTCTCAAAAACATTGTGTTTACGAAAAAAATATCAAGGGACAAAAATGTTTCTAAATGCAATGGTTTTCTAGGGAACTAGTAATTTTTAAGAAATTCAAATATGCGACCAAATGTTTTTGGTTCCAAAGAAAAGGGCACCTACGAAAAAGTGTCTTAAGGGGGTTCCCCGCCAAAAAGCGTAACACTATCAGATTCCACGTGTCATAAAACCCCTATGTATCAAATTTAGTGATTCCCATACAACAGGGTTCTGAGATATATAAAAGACTATTCTTTGGGGCGGATTTCAGGGGGCTGTAACTCTGAAAGAGGGGCCCACTTGGTAAAAATAAAAAATATGGGTTACCTAAATTTGTCTTAAGGATCTGTGACCAAATTTTGTTGCATTAATTTCAAGTTTTGTCTCACTTATTTTATCAGGATTTTGACATGTTTCATATTTTACTTCATAATAACAAATTCTTTGATTTTCTTTAGTAAAATTGTCCGTTTATTGTCTATTTAAAGTAGTTAATTGATTTTTACGTAACTCATGTTTATGTGAAGGAAAAAAAACACCCGGATTAGTATTTACCTGTTTAAGGGAGGGACATACAATTAGATGGTCAAAAAATTTGATTTTTTCTTTTTCCTTTAAAATATAGTAAATCTATCGTAGAATACGCATGTAAAGTTTTAAAATGAAATTTGAAGACCTATTTATTTTCATTCTTTTCCAAAGAGAGAGCAGAGCGTAACATGTACTTCGGCGCTGTTGACTCGGAGACCTTTTGTCTATTGTGCCTTGTTTTGAAGTACTAGGGACGGATTTATTTACAAGCGCCGGTATACACCTACAGAGTGAGCGCACTTATCGATACTGAAATTCATGTATAATGGTAGTTAGTATTATAGCTCTGTCGCTCGACATAAACACAACTTTTTCTCAAAACAGCATTTTTGAAGTTCGTGTTGATGATAAGTTAAAAACAATTTGACCGATTTAGCTGAAACTTGCAGGATTTCTTCTTTATGACATCAGCTTCGAGTTAAACAAACAAAAAATTTGGAATTTATATTGGAAAACTAAATAATTATTGCAAAAATTAACAAAAATTGTTAATTTTTTCAAAAAACCTGCCAAACAACAAAATTTTTATTTTGTTTTAATTTTTTTAAGTTTAGCCATTAATTGTAACTGTTTTTTTGCATATTTTTTTCCCTGGGGTCTTGGCTTTTATCAATCAAAATAACGACGTCCAGGATCAACATAATGGATTCATATCCGCTATTTTGTATGAAAATAAAGAAAAAAAAAATTGTATACATTCTTCAATGTCCTCTTAACAAGTCTACAATATTTCATTACCATTGAATAAAAAATTATCTAACCTGTCTAATTGTAAGGCATTTGACGTAAAAATATTACGAATCAACAATTTCTTTACAATTTTAATTGCAATAATTCGATTTCAGTATCTCAGGTTTGATTTTAAATTTTATGCACAATTTTGGTGCGAAATTTTCGAACATACCGGATATCACATTTGCTTAAATTAATCTAGGAAATACTTTCGAAACCAGGAAAATTGCAAAAAAAAAAGTATTTGTGACAGAAAATATTTCTGAAAATTTAAGCACTTGTGGTATAAGTGTAAATTACCCACTCAATCAAAAACATAAAAAAAATTGAAGTAAGTATGCACTGATAGTGCTCGAGATATTTTGCGATATTTTTAAATGTTTTATCTACTTTGAACAACGTAATTCGTTAAAAAAAAACCTAAGGCTATGGAAACTGAAGTAACTCAATTTGAGACTATTTGGGTGTTATAGCGACACATTTTTTTTGAGAAATATTTGTAATTTGATTTTTGTAACTTTTTTTTTGATAAAATCTTCTTAAGCCTATGTTCCAGTTGCAAACTTTGTATATCTGCAATCCCGATATTATTTATCAGACCTTAAACTACGCTGTATTTTTCTACCAACGTCTTACCGTTGTAATTTTGACGGTGATCGTAACCGCGACCTTTTGCTTTACAGATACTTCTCAAAACATTCACCTCGAAGCCATAATGAAGATGTCGGAATGGCAGCAGCGGAGTACAAGAATGAAAACGTTGAAGATCCTGTCGAAGCCGGAGAGACTGGAACACAAGTCGTTGGAGCACAGGACGAAGAAGCTGGAACACCGAAAATACGGACGTCTCTTAAAACCTAGTACCATGTCTGCCTTATCTGCAAGTAAGGACGGTTTTTATTATTTTTTTTTGTGTGCTGTTGAAAAATGCTCTCAACATATCGCAAATAAAAATGTGAAGCGTGCTTGAAAAAAAATTCACAAAATGCCCCCTTGCGCGATTCTAGTTAATTATACCCGTTTATCTCTGTGCAGAAATCAAGAACAAGATCCGCGGCAGGAAGGCGGGTAGGCACTCGCTCAACCGGCTGCACAGGAAGCGTCACTCCGCCAAGGACGGCGCCGGCCAGTCGAACTCCCTGTCCGCGGACGGCGCCGACGAGGAGGTGGAGTCCATCGGCAACAACAGCAACGCCGGCACGAGATCGTTGGACTCCCCCAGCTCGTCGCCCCTGCTTCAGATGCAGTCCATCTCGGGCTACAACCGCAGCAGGAATCGGATACAGTCGTACGACATAGACAACATCGTCATACCGTACAGCGTGGCGGCATCGACGCGTGTGGAGAAGCTCCAGTACAAGGAAATTTTGACGCCCAAGTAAGTGGAACCATTTTAGTTTTGTTGTCGGCGCGAACGCGTGTTTTTGTTCTTGATTTTGCTCTTTACTGGGGCCTTCTTGTTCTTCGATATATCGTTGCTGTGCAAATAGTGAAGAAAAACGGATATTATTTTATTTTCTAATTCAAACGTTTCTTTTTGTCCCTTCAACGGAACTTTTCCAGTCGATTTGATTTTTCCAGGCATCATTCTGTTGGATTGAGATCAGGTGAATAGAAAGGCTTTATCGATCTGAGTTATTACATTGTGAATATTGAAGAAATAAATAAATTATGGTTAAAATTAATTTAGAATACACCTTTCCAATAGTCTACAGAAACCATTGACCTTAAAAAAAAATAAAACTGATTTGGTAAGAATCATATTAAGCACAATTTGAACAATGCTTCTCATGAAACTTGCATCTACAGGGTGTTTGTAAATAAGTGTGAAATACTTTCGTTTCCAAGTGTTTAAATTTTAATTTTTTGTTTATTTTTATTAATTATTTCAGTTTTTAAACATATGACTCGAAATTTGAAAAATGACGGACGGATAAATGTGCTTTTTTTGGAGTAATCCGAATATTTCTACTTGCACCAGTGGCGTTCGTGCGAGAGTGCCACAACCTTTTTTAACCCAGATATGCCTGAATTATTTTTTTTTCGAAAATTAAAATAAAAACTAAATATGTTTAATTTTAGGTTCTCTATTACATAAAAAAATCTTTAAAAAAATTCTTGCACATTGGTTTTCTTGAAAAGTTCCGTCCTTTTAAAAGGGCAACAGGCATATACAAACCACTAAAAAATATATTTTTTATTTTTTAACAAACATTTTAAAATATAACAAATTATAAAATTTTAAAAAATCTACATTGGAGAGGGGGGATTCTAATTATATGGTTAAATCTGTTTGTAAAAAATTAAAAAAAAAAAAACTAACACTGTATATTGAAAACTAAGCATTCGTGGACCCACGTGTAAAAATAAAGTCTTATTTTGATCTCGAAAATACGCCCGTAAATTCTTTTTACAAAATTTTGAATCACCCTGTATATTGAAAATATTTCTCAGTAACGAGTACTTTTTGTTCGTCATAGCATGAAATGTAATTAAAAACTTCTATTTTTGTCACCAAAAGTATAATAGTTGAAAAATGTTAATGATGCGTAATGTTACGATTTGTGGAAATATTAAAATAAATTAAATAATTAAAAATGGTTAAAAACAAAGTTTTGTCGGATATTAGTTTCTCTTTTACTTAATTTATTACCTATTTTGCCACAAAATATTATTTAATGATAGGTTAGAAAGGAAGGCAGGTCAGCATTGTTGCTTGCAGAAATTCCGTCATTGAAAATAGTCCTCACCGAAAATCGGCTTTTTTTGCAGTGCGAGAAGAATAGTGCATCTGACGTTTAGACAAAGATGGGGACAAACGTCAGTGAAGACGTCAAAACGAACTTTGCCCTTTGGCTTTTTTTCGGTGCGTTTCGACTGCGGAACGTAATAAAATGTAATTTGAACATTTTAAATTTTACGTTTACACCTGTGGAGACCCAAAGTTTCAAATAACCCGTACAGGCTCCACCCGCCGGAGCGGCCGTTTGTAAGCTCGCGACAGAAGGCAAAGGTCCATGGTTTGGCCTTTTTTTTTAAAAGGCTCTGTAACAAATACGCAACCCATAATACATTTTTATAGATTTTATTACACAGGTTGTTTAAATGTGAATTATTGCACAAATAACAGACTTTCCTCCATTCTGACACAGATTTTGTATAAAATGGATTGATTGAAACAAACTATTTTTTGTCATAAAGAAATTTGTAATTTGCCGCTTTTGAACAAGTGGTATCGTAAATTACTAATTACTTCACACCAAAAATTAATTTGAGTTTCATTTTATAGAAAATCTGAGTTAAAATGGGGGAAAGTCTGTTATTTGTGTATTAATTCATATTTAGATGAACTTTGTAATATAATAAAAAATATATTGCTCGTCGCTTATCTGCTATAGAGCCCCTATTAATGGAAAACATCAAACTTTTACATACAGGGTGTTTAAATAATAAGGTACACACTACGTTTCAAAAAATGTTTACCAAACGGTGAGGAGTGCCGTAGGCATAATGCGAAAGGTCAAGTCGGCGATTGCCGCCAAATAAGCGTTAGATGTGAGGCTTTGTAGTATGGGTGGTAGCGGTTGTGCCCTTTTCAGTCTTAAGTTGATAAATTATTAATTGTTGTCTTTTTCAGGTGGAGAATTGCCGAATCAGATTTTGATAACAAATCTGATTCAAAGAACAACAACGGGAACGGCAAAGATTCTAGTCAAGACAGCGATGTAAGTATATGAGAAATTTGTAATAAATTGCTGTTCCACATAAGTTTCAAAAGCTCGATTCATTTCGAATTGTATGGTCCCGACTTTTAAGAAAAATTAAACGCTGAGAACATCGTGTCATCTTCGTTTGTTTAAGAGGCAGAGACCGTTTTTCAGTCGTAGTGCAAAGACTCGATTGGCAGAAACAATTTGTACAAATAATATTTTTTTGATGCTTACTGACTTACGAAGTTGATACGATGAAAACTTGTTTGGAACTGCTGACTCGACTCCTAGTTTTCCCTCTGCACATGAAGATTTTCAGTGAACTTGCACTTTTGGTTTTCGTAAAAGTGATAATTACTTAAAATTTAACTGTAATTCTGTTTATTACAAAAAGCGGAAGAAAACAGTGGACGACACACCATTTAAGGCCACAGCTGTTCACTTGTTTTTGTGTAGTATGTAAGCCGGGTCCGATTCCAGAAGTTCTCAATAAGTTTTAATGATTTTGGTCTGATTATTAATTTCGAGCTCCGTTTTGCAGTCAACAATTTTTATTATTGAAATTGATTATTTTTACCCTTTTCATCTATTAAAAAATCTTCCCCAACTTTGTAAACACCAGGAAATTTTACCAGAAATTCAAATATCGAAAAACATTTGGAATGTTTTAAAAATATTAATAATTAATAAATAAACAAGTAATTTAACCCAGAAAATGAATCAAGTTATTGAAAGGCAATGTTTTTATTGTCTAATTTTTCCTGAAACGAATATTTTAAATGCGTTTTTGCGTTTCTCCACCGAAAATATAAGACCCGCCGATTTTTATTGTATCAGAATCCTGTCACAAATTTGATTCTAATGTGAATCGGAAACGAATTTTTCTCCATTGAATGGTTTCTTTCTAGTTTGAAGACCTCTCGGAAGCGGCTGTGATCGACCGGCACGAGAGGTGCGAGTACGACGAGAAGAAGAGATTCCTCAGCTACCTGAAGCTCCCGATAGGCTACGGCCGCGCCCGCTCCCAGAAACGCACCGACAGCCGCGCCGAGTCCAGCGGCGCCAACACCCCCGATCCCATGTCCCCCCACAACATCGACCAGCAGGAGAACACCAACTCGCCCATGACGTCGCCGCCCGCCACACCCCTCTCCATCCAGATGGAGGACTCGGGTCCCCTACCTTCGATAGCGGTGATGAGGAAACGGACCATCTCCCAGTCCCGCTTCGCCAAGGACAAGGAGCCTAAGGAGGAGACGGTCTGCAACACCCCGGAGGAGGTGGAGGTGACGCCGTACGACAGGCGCACCTTCCCCATCAACGAGGAGACCTACGAGAAAATGCTGAAGCACATGCCGGAGAACCACCAGTTCAAAACCAACAGCAGGGCGCAGGATTCGTCGGACTGCGAGGGCAACTCGGGTTATCTGGACAGGAAGATGGATTCGCCGGATAGCGAGTCTACCGAGTCGGCGATCGGCGATGGGGACGAGGACCCCAACGATCCCGAGTGGATCGACATGGAGCGGGCCAACAGGGAGCGCTACAAGAGATAGGAAACGTCTCTTTTTAGTACTGATTTCTTGGTGAGTCGTTATTTTATTTATCTGCTGTTTTCGTTACCATTGACAAACTTTTTTTTTCATTGATTATAAAAAATCAAGGTTAAAAAACAATGTACCAGCACTTACGCTCTGTTTACTCCCACTCATCACTATATTGAATTTTTTTTAATTTTTGATTCTCGTGACATGCCGTGTTAAAAAAAACTGTTCTGTTAAATTTATTCACTCTTCGGGTAATATACGAATAAACTAAAATGGTTTTTCAAACTGTAATGGTGGGTTCTGTGTCAAAAATTTTAGGCTATTTTTGAAATACAGTAGAACCCCGATCCGTGCGGCGGATTCTTCGTGCGCTGCAATGTTTGCGATTATCCGGCAACGGTTCTGTCCCGGCTGGCCCGCATAATCGAAGTTCTACTGTACAGTCAAAGCTCCTTATTTGGGGTTCCCGTATTCACGATATCCATATTCGCGGACCAAAAAATTGTGACCACTATCCGTATTCACGGGTAAAAAAATTCTGTATTTGCGGATCCAAAACTAACGTATACGTATTGAATTTTTAGAATAATGTGTATTTATTTGTCAAAATAAACAAATAGGTATCAAAATGTTTATAAACAAACAAGTTTCTTAGTCTTAGTGTTGTGAAGCCGAAAGTCATTTGCCAAAATTCGCCGCTCGCTTACACGTGCCTTTGATAAATGTGACGTTAAACTTAAAAAAATCTGAGTGAAAAGCCCTTTTATTAGCTGCAAAACAAGAAAAAATCACAAAGTTCTTTAAATTAACACTAAGGCTATCTTTACGAGCCGCGCAGCGGCGAGCGGAGGGGACCGAAAGGTCCCGTCGCTCTTCCTTTATCCGTTTGGCATATTTTGAAGGAGATTTCTTAATGTCTTCCGAATGAAATTTCACTTTTCTGGGGGATCCGCGGCTAAAAATGCAAATTTTCGTTGTGGGAGAGAGACAGAACCCGACGGGAATGCCCACCGACGGATGTTTTGAGGGTTTATTATAGTTTTTTGTTATTTTGCAACATTGGAACATGTCCCCTATATTTCCATACAAAATGCCACCCCATATTCGTAGATTCCATATTCGCGGTACATTTTCGGAACGTAGCCCCCGCGAATAAGGAGCTTTGACTGTACGTAATAAACTCGAGTAATATGTTTTCCATGAGTGAAATATTTGATTGATCCTCTTCAGCTGTTCTTTGTAACTAATGAATCGTAACTTTTTGTTAATTTTTTAACGTTGTATAAATGTTTCCGGATACGTACCATATGAGGGTTACCTTTTATATTTCGGGAATAGACCACAAAAAAGAAATGGATCATCGTATATGGCTTTATAGTTTTTCAAAATATTCTCCATAAAAGTCTACATACTTTTGCATTCGTTTGAACCAATTTTCGAAGCACTTTTTCCGTTCCGACGATTGAGGTACCTCCAAATTATGCATTTTGAATGCAACAACTTCTTGAAGCGTCGAAAAACGTTACCTCTTAATTTATTTTTGATGTGTGGGAATAAAAAGTCATTGGGTGTCAAATCAGAGCAGTATGACGGATGACTCATCAATTCGACTTTCTTTGTTTCCTTTTCCAAAAGTCTCTTGTTTGAGACGATGTGCGAGAGCTCGCATTGTCCTTCAACGCATCGACACAAGCCTTTTTTGAGCTTTTGTCAAATTACGTTAGATCCAACTTGAACAAATTTTTTGATGGCCAAATGTTCACGCAATATTGAATGTATGCTGGTCCCACTAATGCCCAAGGATGCCTCAATCTAACGATAAAAGTAACATGACGATCTCGCAATATCACTTCACGCACAGCATCAATGTTTTCTGGAACGACAACCGATTTTGGACGTCCTTCACGAAATTCGTCAGTGAGTGAACCACAGCCACGATTGAATTCCATGTACCATCTTTGTACAATGATTTTTGATGGTGTTTCATCGATAAAAGTCAATTTAATTTCATCGATGCACTGTTGTCGAGATAATCCACATTGAAAGTTATAAAAAAATAAACACGCGGAAAAACGTTCACGACATTTTTTTGGCCGAGATTAATTTTTCAAGTCAGTGTGAACAACACAATTAGGGCCTGTACATCAAAACGTTCTGAGTAGGGATACCGACAAAAAGTCGAACTTTACGATAGGGAAGTTGATCATTAGATGGCAGCACCAGGATTGTTCATTCCCGAAATATAAAAGCGACCCTCGTATTTATATGCATTTTTTTTGACACATGCAGAAAAGATTCCATCACTCGCAGTTCAGTTTGTGAAGTTACATCTCTTTTATATTAAATTTTTATTGGCCATGTATAATTAAAATTAAAAAAACTAAAATTTGCCTCAAATCAGTAATTTCAATAGTATTCGTGAATAATTATTATCTAACATTCTGTTATTAAACATTTTTTGTATGTGATATATATCGGCGTCCGTAACAGGAGTATTTCTCTTCCAGATTTATTTTAAAAAGTGCTGTTGTACACATCGAGGATCTTTATAAGGAGCTGGATTTTAAGATCGGACAATTTGTAAAATGTTAACTATTGTAATTGTTTAAAGAGTCTGGTCACACGTTTTCGTTGTCTCAGTTAAGCATAGCTTGGCACACACTTTTATTCTGTAACGGGAGCTTCGGATTTTGTATTGGTTACGTAAAGTCTGTGATTTTGTAATTATTTCTATAAGCACCGTCAATACTGTTGTTGCTTTTTGGTATTGACCGAATTAGCCAGTTAAAAGCAAAATACAGAATTCAAAGCTTGGTTTTTTTTTGTCTGTTGTATTTTTCCACTTGTATTATATCGATTACGATAGGGTACCTCAGTTTTTTTTTTTACTGTTTGTTTAATAAAGTTTACTTTCACCATATGCAGTTAAACGTTTTTGACTTACGATTTGCCACGGTAACGTACGTTTCACTCGCTCCTCCGGGTCGGCACGGAGTAGTAGAATATGTACCGATTGTAAATAAAATTTGCCGAGTAATCTTTATCGGGCATAAATTGGAAAAGTGTCAGATTTAAATAATCATTAATGTGTGTATTCACATGTAGCTTATAATAGAGATTTAAATAAATAAGAGATGATTTAGGTCTACAAATATATATATTATAAATTTTTTTGTCTTGGAAAATTAAAAAAATATTTTTAATACTATTTGATTATTTGAATAATGATTTTTGTTTGTTTTGTTTTAAAGGTGTTTACTGTAACTCAGAGCAACGTTTTACTGGGACTAAAAAAAAAAATAAGATTAAATTACATTTTTTTGTCACTCTAATCAAAACTCTGACGATACTAAAATAATGGGCTAGAACTGATAAGAAACTACAGGAGTATTGTAAACTACTAGAAATGTAGAAAAAATCAAACAAAAAAAAAGTTGCACAATATTTTGCTGAACTTTTCTTGAATGTATCTGAAATGCAATGAAAAAAGTTGGAAACAGACACTCATCTTTAAAAACAAGTTGCGCAATATTTTGCTGAAACTTCTTGAACGTGTCTGAAATGCAATGAAAAAAGTTGGAAACAAGACACTCATCTTTAAAAAAAAGTTGTGCAATATTTTGCTGAAACTTTTCTTGAAAGTTTATGAATTGTATTGAAAAAAGTTGCAAACAGTCATCTTTAAAACAGAATGTCGCACTTTTATAAAATTTCTTGTTCAACAATCAGAGGAGTTGGTTTTAAACGTTATTTTTATTTCAGTGATTAAAATGTCAATACGATTTCGATAAATCTGACATCCGCTAAAATGGAAATATTTTAAATTATTCCTGTGGTCGTTTAATGTGACTTCATAAAAGTACAACAGTTTGTTGGATTTGTAACCTTTTTCTTCATTAAACCATGTGAAATATACAAAAAAAGTTGTTTATTGCATTTAAAAAAAATAGTAAAAGAGAAAATTTAACCAGTGGTGCCTTGTGATCAAAAACGTCCAGATTTTTTATTTATTTCAGGAATTGGCAATATCAGATCTGAAGTGTTCAACAAATTATTGCACAACTTTTTTGTAATTTATGCCACCCTGTATCTGTCACTGCAATCTCTCATTAAATAGCTCTAACCTGGAACATTTCTTAAATTGCGCAACTTTTTTATCATTTGAACTAGGAATAGTCTACGACGCAGCTGCAATCTCCCGTTAAATAGTTCTAACTTGGTACATTTCTCTTCCTGATTTCATGAAGTTTTGGCAATATATTGCGCAATTTGTTTATATTTTATCCCCGGTTAGTTTTAGCAAAATATTGGGCAACTTTTTTGTAATTTGGGCGACTAAATATTTCTAACTACATTTCTCTTCTTGCTTTCATAAAGTTTCGGCAAAATATTGCGCAATTTTTTTTATAATTTATCCCGGGTTAAATAGTTCCAATTCAGTGCACTTTTAAATAAAAAAGATCCTGATGAAGTTACAACAAAATATTGGGCTACTTTTTTGTAATTGGGGCAACTATGTACCTCTTAAAAGTCTACGATGTCTCTGCAATCTCCCATTAAATAGTTCTAACCCAGTATATTTCTTAAATTGCGCAACTTCTTTGTCCTTTGAACTACCGTGTAACGCTAGTAGTCTACGATGCAGTTCTAACTACGATTCTAAACTGGTACATCTCTAATCTTGATTTCATAAAGTATCAGCAAAATATTGCGCAACTTTATGATTTTAGTCACCATGTATCTCAAATAGTCTACGACGTCCCATCAATTTCCCATCGAATAGTTCTGGTATATTTCTTAAAAGGGATCCTAATTTCTCATCCTGATTTCATGAAGTTTCAGCAAAATATTGCGCAATTTTTTTATAATTTAAACCAGCATGTATCTACGATTTCCCTGCAATTTCTTGTTGAATCTGGTATATTTCTTAAGAGATCTGAATTTCAGGGAGTTTCAGCAAAATATTGTGCAATTTTTTTATACTTTGAGCCACTGTATCTACGATGCAGTTGCACACTCTCGTCGTTGTTTTAACCCGGTACATTTTTCAATAAATAGGTCGTGATTAAGTTTGAGCAAAATATTGGCCAACTTTTTTGTAATTTGGGCCACTATGTACCTCTAACAGTCTACGATGTCCCTGTCTCTCGTTAAGTATTTCTAACCTCTCAATGATTTTTCACTGAAAAAGATCCTGATTTCAGTAAGTTTCAGCAAAATATTGCGCAACTTTTTTGTGATTTCATCCACCCTGTATATCTAATGGTGTAAAAAATCCCTGTAATCTCCCATAAAATAATAAGGAAGATCCCAATTCTAAAAACACCATGTATTGTGGTTAAATTCAGTCAGTTCACTGATTCTGAAAAATGTAATGGAGATTTATGTAGACACTTTTATTTGTGAAAAAGCAGTTTGATTTAAAAAAAAACTTTTGAGTTGCATTAATGTGATCATTTGAATATTTGTTTTACGTTTATTAACCGGCAAAGTAATCGCATCATACAAGGTAGGTAGTTAATTTTTAACCTTATTAGTAGTGACTTTGTTGATGCCTTTGATGACGGTTGACTGCATATGGTATTCCATTACCTTGACTAGAGTATGTATATATAAAATAAGTAGTTATTAAAGTTTGTACAAAAAGAAAACTTTGCAAATAAAATGAAAACTAAGATTGTTTTTATTTTCCACCGGTTGCATTTTATTTCGCAAAGGTAAAGGCTTGTAAAAAAAAATGCGCTGTAAAGTGATAAAAAGCCATAAAAAATATTGACAGGAAATATGCTTGCGGCATTTTTGGCGATCTGCAGAGCATGTTTTAATCATTTTTAACTTCTATGAAAATTGTTGGAAATTGTACTCTTTATAAGAGTTAGAAACTGTATATGAGAGTGTTATTATATTCATCGATTCTGGTTATAATTTCATTCTTCATCGTTTTACTACAGAGAGAGAGGTTCATGTATAATGTTAACTAGTATTTGTAAATTGTAAATGATAAAAACTAATAAAAAAAAGTCTAATATTTATTTTCAAACGCTTATGTAGCCAAAAAAGTTAAGTTACTTGTAGTTGGTACATAAATTTTTATATGCAAATATGTTTTAATATTACATGATAAAATAAACAATAACACAAAACACATTCACTGTTCCTTAATTCTCATAAAACGTCTTATTCCAAGGGCCGTTCCAAATGGAATTCAAATGCTGACAGAGAGCAACCTACTAACCTTTAGTTACTACCGAAACATAATCAGTGACGCACTACGTGAAATAAACTTTTTAACTACCAATACTGTGTAATACAACTTCTCTGCGAGCTGCAGGCTCCTTTGGGCATTGAAATACACCCTCAATATCTTGTAAACGGTTAAGATCAATAGAACCACAAAATGGACGAATTTGAAATTTATTATTCCTCATTAGTATGTCAGAGGTTAAACGAGTGACAATTTAGCTATTTAGATGTCTAATTTGCTGACATGTGTTGAGTGTAGGTGAGATATAACCTATGAAGTATTTTGTGTCTTAAATAACACTAACTAGTTAACTAATACGTTTGAAACTAGTTTACTGACAAATTATCTTAGTTGTCAATTAGGTATTGAGGGTGTAATTCAATGTTGGACAATGCCTGTAGCCAGCAGAGTAGTTGTTTTGCACAGTACTTTCAGTTAAAGAATTTTGATGCTTGATTCGTTAGAAGGTAAGTTGCTGAACACTGCTGTAAGTTGTTTCATCTATGGCATACTGATGAGAACTAGTTTGAAACTAGTCTGCCAACGAATTATCTTAGTTGTTTATAAGGCATTGAGGGTGTAATTCAATGTTGGACAGTGCCTGTAGCCAACACAGTAGTTGTTTTGACAGTGCCTGTAGTCAGCAGAGTAGTTGTTTCGCACAATATCTTGTTAAAAAAAAATTTGATGCTTGATTCTTTAGAAGGTAAGTTTCTGAACGATAAATTGGACAAATTTTAAAATGACGGCATTGTGGAGTAGTGGAAAATTTCACTTAAAAACAAAAGACACAGTTTGCGAGATACTTTCAATAATTAAAACAGGTTTTCCTCATAACAAAAAATATTTAAATTGCATAAATGTGAATAATTATCACACAAATCTAGAAAAAATGAATTTTTAAAAAGGTGTGTTCAACTGCATTTCTAGCACTTGATCATCAGGCACCAAATTAAGTACATAGACGGCATATTTTTAAATGGAGGTCACTTTCTTGGAGTAGTGTGTCCTTCAAATTAATTTTTTTTAAATCAAATATGAGGACCTAGTTTAAGTGAAATACATAATACACCTGATGTGATATGACAACAGTACACTAGGTGCTAGGTGGGCAAAATACAAACGGCCAACGAAGCAGATCGGCTGAGTATGTCGCCACTTCAATTTTATTATTTATTTTGAGTTTATCGGTTTGAGATATTGGTAATACGGTAAGTAATGTAGCAATTCTTTGCGTGAAGTATTGGTTTTTCGATACAGTATGTCTTCATTGTTAAATTCCTGTAAAGCATTCTATTGTTAACGTTCGGTTAACAGTTGTTTGGGGTTACACTAACCTTTCCAGTAGCGGGCGAGGGGATAAAAATTAGGAATAGAGGTTAGTCAGTTTTCATTACAAATTTTGAAAAAATAATAATAATATAACTTTCTTAGCCAACTTTCAATTGGAATATCTCGGAACGGAAAGTGTGCTATTATTTGTTAATTTTCGCCCAGAGTAAATTTTTTTCTAACATTCCGGGTAAAAAGTATATTTCCCAGTTTGTCCCCTCTCGTTAACTAAACAGTAACGAATGATCTGAAAAACCTCGAATGTCTCGCGAACTGTAAGAAATAAACCCCAACCCGCTTTAGTAAAACCAAAAGAAAATTAAATTTCGTGTAAAATTTATCAAGGTTCTATAAAAAAATATATACTCTTATTGTTAGTTTTATTTGTCTATTCGAAATATATTAATGGGTAAAGCCACTCTAGAATTTTGAAAAATGGTTTAAACAATGCTTTATTATGAAAAGTGCTTATCGTAATTCTTGAGAACACTCACCAGATTGAGTCTCGGATCAAGCCGAAAAAGAGGATGAAGAAAATATCAATATGGAGCAGGCATAGCTGATTGAAGGTATTGTATATAACAAATTTCTTATGCTGAATGGCAACAAAATCTTTAAACGTGTTTTTTGAAAAACCACTTTTTTTAACTGGCCAGACACGACTCAAAATTTTCAATGAATCGACTTGAAATTTTGTACAAAGCTTCACGACAACATAACTCGGGGAACATCGTAGAGGTTTTTCGATTAATTAAAAAATTTTCAGTTATTAACAATTTAATGTAAAATTTTTCGATACTTTTTCACAATCAACAATTATTTTTTCTAATTTCCCTACGATGTTCCCTAGTTTTTGCATACATCAGTAAATTTTTATTTTTTTCTTCCCAAGACCATCTAACAAGAAATTTTTCCTGTCATACAGTCCTCTCAAAAAAATGTATCGTTACTTGCCATTATCTACAGCCACAATAGTCCAGTTGATATTTGTTTTAAAAGTAAGGATGTTTCATATAGCAACGCTAATTTTTGTTGGAAATTGTTCTAAATAATTGATAGGCACCCGCTGAAAAAGTTGTGTAAGAAAATGTAAAAAAAATTAAAAAGGCGCAGCTTTCTCCCTTCTTCCATGTATAACTCTGAGAATATTGACATTAGAGAAAATAGTCAAAGGAAAAAAAGTTTCACAGGAATCGAGCAGAGTCAAAGAGTGTGGAGTGGGTGACTATGCGAGCGGGACATTTTTAATCGATAGAGGAAAGCAAGATCTATTCGAATTTTACAAAAAAATCTTTCAATTTAAATTTATACGCAAAATAAAAAACAAAGTAGATAATATATTAAAAAATCTTATTTAACGTTGTATCTTAGGTGTTAGGCCTACTTTTAGAAAACAGATAAAACAATTACAGTATATTAAAATTAACACTAAGAAGAAAAAAAAGAAACAAAAACGTTATACACATTGCACCTAAGTGAATTAACACTTGTATTGTGCAAGCAATATGGTATAATGTATAGAAAATCCAGCCACGAAAACATTAATATTTCAGAAAAATTAAAATAGACTTGTTAAAATAAAAGGTTACCTCTTATGAAAAGTAGAAAAATATAATAACATTTTCTTGCATTATAAAGTCATATTACCTGTATATCACGAATATACTCCTGCAGCAATTGAAATCTTAAGTAACGAACACAAACTACTGTCAAGGTCGTTTTAGCACAATTTTTTAAGCGGGCACACATCGCAATTATCATTTTACATAATATTTAGAACTATTTCCAATAAAAATTAGCATTACTATATAAAACGTCCATCCCGAAACAGATACCGACTGGACTACGAGTATTATTTCAAAACATGTAAAATAAAGCCTTTTTGTTCCTGACACTGTATCTGTATCGATTTCTTCTTGAAAATTCCCAAAAATCACCTTTTTTTTTCAACCTCTACAGTGGCGTTACCCGTTAAGTAACTTATAATGTAGGGTTTTCTTATACTTGAACGGAGAAATTCAAGGAATGGAGAAAATCAAGGAGAAATTTAAAAAATGTAGTCATGTACGGGCATTCCATTTGACAAAATGAAGGTAGCTCCCGGAAGAAACAAGACACCCTGTATAATCGAAAATAATTTCAAAATTGTATTTATACCGATATTACTAGAGCTACAGAAATCGTTTCAAGTGGGACAAGTTTTATGTAACAAAAAACTACATTTATGGATTTTGAAAATTTATTGCTTTGCATAACGAACAAATGATACAATACTAGTTTAAACTTAAAAGTAAAAGAAGAGGTAAGAATATCGATGCATATCAAATATTTAACATTACAAAAAAAACAATACTCTAAATGAAATAAAACTAAAAATAAAGTTATTCTACTAACCAAAGTTCTTTTGGAGGTTTTTTATGGAAGGCTTTATATCATCGATGTACCTCTTGTACTCCGTTTCTATTAACACTTTCCTATCCGTGGGTTCTGTGAAGATACCCGCCCTTTCTAGATTACATATCCTCTTGCTGCCACGAGTTTCTCTCTGAAAAAAAAAATGTAAATTTTTTTTGAGACAAATGATAGGTACAAATGTAACAATAATTTGTAGCTACTCAAGCAGTTAAAAATATCACGTCGCATGGCACCTATATATTTGCAAACCAAACGATTTTCTATCCACGTCAGATTAATAGTTTGGCTAGCATATACATATACCATTACGTGTGCAGCTATCATGACTCTATTGTACCTCAATATCTGCTGTAATCCTATTTTTAATATCGGTAAAGGATTTCTTATAGTCCACCTGGCTAAGTTTGCTGGCTTTGTAGCAACATAAAATATCATATACCCTCTGGCATTGCCTCTTACAAATTTTTTCTTTCTTCATGTAACCGAATATTTTTTTTGTATTGGTGCTGCATATATCAATTCCGGCACCGTTCAGTTCTTTATAAATCGTCGTACAGTCTTCGAAGTCACGAATTTTTTGGAAGTGAGGTGTAGGTTCCTCAACTGAAATTAAAGTAGAAGCAATTGGGATACGAATAATTTGGGCATTACAAAAAAAAAAAATAGGTCAAGCTGTTAACCGTAAACTGTTTGAACGGAAATAATGGGATTTTTCTATATCATTTTTCTTTTTTAAGATACAGAATGTGTTATATTTAAAAAAAAAACCATTTTTATTAGTAACTTCACCATTTTTTAAGACATTCTGTACATTCTAAGACAAATTTAATTGTGATTTTCTGTTACATTTTTTTAACCTTATCATTTAATTTGTTAATAAAAATCTTTCTCTAAATTTATACTTATACACCCTGTATCTTAAAAAAGGCGATTCCATGAAACATGTAATAACCAAAATCTTACTATTTTCTGCCAAAGAATAACACTGTATATAAACAAAGTTATGTTGACATGTAAATAAACTACAAGAAAAACCATTTTTAAGAAAATACTACCGTGGAATTAATTTTTGCTCACACTTATCTATAACTATACTACGACCTACCTGTTACATCTATCACCTTTGGCATTTTCTTAATATCGTTAATAATAGTATGATATAACTTGGAACCAATCCCTTTTCTCTGATGTGGAGGTAAGATGAAGAACTGACTAATTCTAGCTCTAATATTATCGGGATAGGCATAAAATTTGTAAACGGAACAATAACCAACAGCAGACCGATAAATTTCATTCGTGACTGGATGTTCAAACTCCTCGTAACTATGTAATAAAATAATTGTTTTTGGAATTAATTTACAAAGTTTAGGGTATACTTACACGTAATATAGCATCCATCTGTCATCAGTTAAGTCAATAGGATTAGCGGCATCTATGTACCAAACGATAAATGTTTCAAATTTACTGTGGAAACGTTGAAAATTTTCATCCGTGATGTCACATTTAGTAATTTTATAGTTAACTTGTACGTTTTGATCGGAAATTAATTTGCCTAAAAATAATTATTTGTCATTTAACATTTTTTAATTTTCAATGCAAAGTGCAACGATACGACTTGCCTTGTTTTTCATCTTTAAATTCAGCTAATACTCTTCCAAAAATTAGGTCATGCTTTTCATTTTCTATCATCTTTTTGAATTCACTTTTGTTTGCAGTAAATTCACTTGGCAGCCATGGTTCTAAGCTATGCATTATATTATCTGGTTTGTAAATTTCTGATTTTTTAATTTCCATAGACTTTTGTATATCAACATAGCAGCGTGCAGAATTATGAAGGTAGTAGATATTCATGGCCAATGAACGATAACCAAAAATACTCTCACTTAAAACAGAATATTATTGATTTATCAAAGTAATTCTGTAAACTTACCTGTCCCCAAAAATTTGATGAGCCATTACAGGTTTAAAGACATCCGATTTCGATGTCACATCGTCTTCCCCATAAACTGAAAATTCGGTTATAATTATGGTTCTGTAATTCCTGTGAGTTATTAGAGTAAAAAAACTACAAACCAATTTTGAAAAACACTACAGAAGTCGCATCTTTTCTATACAAGCTCATTTCACCGTCCTCATCGATGTGAAAACCGTTTGAACAGCTTTTTTCATCCATCTAGAAAAAAGCATTTTATAATCAAAACAACAACTTAAAAATGATTAAAAAATCACCTTATAAATGAAATTTCGCTGCTAAAAAACATTAATATAAACGACACTACTATACAACGGCGCGAAATTTAGCATCCGTTTTGACATTCGTTAATTGTCAAACTTCAAACGTATTTGATAATTTCTAGGGCGTTTATCGTTTAACGAATTTTTGTCCATGTGCGTTAGAAATTTAATGACGTCATTTAAACTCTTTCCACTTCTTCCAGCATATACTACTGGAGGTAGCATTGGTAGATAGTATCTTATAATATGCTGTGTCACTCTAACATGCACGCGATTGGTTAGAAATGAATGCCCCTACCAATCGCGTACGTGCCAGAATGAGAGACAATTACTGAGATACTGACTGTCTCTCTCTCACACTCAGCCACACTTTTCGCAATGGCATGCTACCTCCAGTAGTATATGCCCGAAGTTCCACTTATACAATAATTTATTGAGACAAAAATTCCAATTTTGGTGTACTAGCAAAGCTGATTCACTACAACTTGTTCTCTCTACAACAACTAATACGAATACGAATACGAGCACGACCACGTTCGTCCAACAGTTTCGAACAGAGATATCGACCAATCATCTAATCATCACAGTGATAAAGAAAGAAAGAGATAACTACTTTCCCAACAATTAGAGAGAGAGAGAGATAATAACCATATAGGAAGTTTTAACTTTTTAAAATTAATGTTGGTAATGAATTACGGTTTCAAAACTAAGGAGTTTTAAATATTTAAAATCAACTATTTACAGTATTTACACTTATTATTATTGATTAGTTAAAAAATAAAGAATATTCCGTATACATATATCTACATGTTTGTAAGAGTTAGGTATATTGACGCCTTTAACTAAAGTTTAAAGTTATATCTTTTAGGTAATATAGGCTTAACCTCTTCGTACCTTCGCAGTCTATGTCAGAATGGATAAGAGGAAGGCATTAAGAGATGTTATAGACTTATGTAACCAAGGAAAATTTAAGGAGTCCTTGAGTATTCTGCAGTGTATTGATGGCGAATTAAATAATAAGTGGGCAATAGCTGTAATAATCGCTTGCTGTACTTGTGTCGTTAACAACTCCCATTCCGAAAGCACTTTAGAAAATTTGTTCAGCTTGCTGAAGTTTGTAGTTTCTTATATAAAAGATATAAATGAAGCAGATTTGCTTAGTTATATGCAGTCATTATTCCACATTATCAAATCGTTTATCAAAAAGGTAACATTACTTTAATTACTTCCAAAATAATTTTAGTTAATAATTTTATTTCCAGAAATGCTATCAGTTAATTGCCAAGATGGAATGTATTTTAGTACCATCATTTCTTCCACTTTCATTGCCAAAAAAACACAGTGAAACCTATCAAAGCACAGCAAGCCTACTACATAATCTTGCCATAAAAGTAGATTGTAGTAAGTTTGAATTGTTATTGGAAATATGCAACGTTTTATCTAAAATGTACGCAAGAGCTTCAAACACGTCTGCATTGCTTAAAACATCATTTAATTGTGGAATACATTTATCTAATTCACCTTGTTCTTCAAAAGCTTTAGAAGGATATTGCTTGAATGTACTGAATTTATTAAAATCAAATGACATTAAGGTGGATTCCGAAGATGACTTCAAGAATTTTCTGTCTTATTTTACACTAATATTCAACAATATTTTTAAAGAATTTGATTTCAAAGAAGCAGCAGACTTTTATGAAATTACTTTTGAAATTGGGGTGAAGATATTTGATAACGAAGATTACCTCAACGTATTGTCAATAATGAAGTTTCCACTGCTATTAACTCCTATGTTTAAAGATAGATCAGAAGGTTTGATGAACTGCAAGAGGAGTTTTTGTAAATTATCAGAAAAACGGTTAGTAGGAAACAAATTACATAGTCTGATATATACCATGGTGATTTCGTATTATAAATCAGGGAAAGGACCGGAGTGGTGCAAACCTTCAGAGGTTTGTCAATTAGAACTGCTTGAGTTTATATGGGAAATAGGACGGCTTGAACTGTTACCGAAATTCTCGTGCCCTTGCAAGTGCCTTGTTGAAAAAAATGTATACCAGGCGTTTTCTTACTTCCGTTATACATCTACCTTACTAGAAATATCCGTCCGCCAAAAGAATACAACCTCTGATTTTAAAAGAGATGGTGCAAATCTGTTAATTCGCTTTAGTGAATATGTAAAAGTATTAAAGCAGTATAATTGCGAAAAATGGAAGGCGGCTTGGGAGGCTCTGGGTATGGCTCTCTACAATGTAGGCGTACACATTTATCAAAACTCCGATGAAGCCTGTTTGCATTATTTTTGTAATCTAATTAAATATTTTATAAAATTCGAGTTCCGCGGCGGGACCAATATTTTGAAGTTTTCTATGGTCGGTTCAGCTTTTGTGGTGGTATCCAATTATAGCGTCAAAGATTACAAAAAATCCATGGCTTTAGCGGCTCTAGGGATCCAGTTGTGCCCAAATCAAAGGAACGACCTAATGGTAAACTGGATAAAGGCTAAAGTTGCCCAACGCAACGCTCAAACAGATGAAGGTAACGAGGTACAAAAAGTAACGCTAGTTTCTGCTTTTAAACGGTTTAAGAAGGAAATGGAATTTTTAACCGATGGCGCCAATTTGTTAACGGTAAACGACAAAATCGATTTGTTGGTGTTCGAGTTGGAACAGTACAAAAAGAGATGGAAGAGCAAAGTGCCTATGATGTGTGCCCTCAAAGAGCTTTGCGACATCGCAGACTTAAATAGAACTGTTGAGGTGATCGTAAACGTTTTCGGAGATTGCGATTTGATGTTACACGAGGAAGTACCGAAGATATTGCAAACAACTCTGAAAAAATATGAAGCAAAAGTAAACGAAAAGAAAATTTCAACTCCCCAGGACACACTTTTCACGGCTGTTTTGTACTACATGCATTACAAGTATTGTGTGAAAGACACCATTACTAAAAACGCGGTTGATATGGAGAGAACGATGTCCGTTACACAAAAAACAAACGAACCACCCGATGCCATTCCGAAGGATCCAAGTGAAGAATGCGATATCGTTTCATTTTACGACTGTTTAAATCTGAACAGATACTTCGGGGTTATGAAATATCTAAATAAGTCTTTAGAATTGCTTACGTCTGTCATAAAAGTTGATTTTGACTCGAGTAGTTTCACGAAAGTAACCCCTTCAATGGTATACAATTTGCTCGTTAAGATATCGATGGAATACAGACTGCACCGGTTCAGCGTAAAAAGTTTACAAGCCCTGCAATTAGCCTTGAAAGTGGCACAGTTTGAGAACAACGCCTCCAATGTCGTCTGGGCGATCGCCTTTATCATTGAAAATTCCGACGTGAACAAAAGTTACATTCGGTACCTGTTGTTAATAGCAAACGAACAGTTGAAGAACATCGAATACACGAGTATGCCAAGTTTAAAAATTGTTCTCACGTATTACATTTGCAAAGCCAAATGTCTGCTTTACGAGGATTACAAGCAAGCTTACAGGATATTTCAGATGGCCGACGAGCTGTACAATGCACAGGAAGATAAATCCGAACTGAAAATAGTCGAGTCCCAACTGTACTTGTTGCATTTTAAATTTGTTATGATGCCTTGTAAGTTCGGTATCGTAGATCATAAGGAGAGTACTTTGCTGACGATTCATCTTGCGAATTCTGCTATATACGAAGCTTATCGCAACAATAAACTAGGTAAGGTATATTTTTATTTGAGTTTTACCTGAGAAAATGGATGATATGATGTATGACTCATTTCTGTGGTGTGTTTTATGTTTTTTTTTACGTGAGACCCGGCCAAGTATGTGTAACGCGTGACATGACATCAGGACATGGCTTCCGGTCGTTTTCCCGCTATATGTTTTCATTAACTATTCTGAAAAAGAAATCGTTGAAAAAAAATTCTGATTTTGTTCAATTCAAGTAAATACGATGTATACTTTCCGAATACAAATTAAAAAAATTATGCTAATGTGCCCATTGAGACAATGACATACTTTATTGGTTATATCTCACCCACACTCTGCAGGTACACATCTAAATCCTTCGTCAATTGTCTCATCTACAGGGTGTTTCAGTTCGAGTGAGTCAAACTTTAACCACAAATAGAACTCAATAAATAATTCAGAATTGCCTTATAAAACAGGGGTCTAAGTCTCACCGTTTTCATTGTATAGGCCCGTATCAGTCGGTTTTTACAATGATATTATTTATGAAATCTTTGGTATGTTTATAACAGATTGATTCAAATTTGGTGTAGTGTTAACATTTATACACTACAATTTACAAATTTTTGTAGATCAGTGACATAAGAATGGGTAGTAAAGGGGAATTTTTTTACCCCAACTTCTACGCCAATAACCTAATTGGGATTCATTTTTAGATTCCATTGACAATTCTACATAAGAAAGATATACTTGTTGAAAATCGGTAAATAAATTTTAAAATTAATATTATGTCACGTGTTAACTTAAAATTGAAAACAATATTAAATAATATGTCTCCACATCGGCGAAACGACTGGTAAATTTATACCGATTTTCAACGAGTGTGGTAGAATTGTCCACGGAATCTAAAAGTGAATCTCAAATTATTGGGGAGATTTAGACTTTTACTTTATGAGGCAATTCTGAATTGAGTTCCATTTATTGTTAAAGTTTTATTCACTTGAACTGAAACACTCTGTACACAGATAAAACAAAAATGTAATATCTTCATTTAAAAGGCTATAATTATTCTGTACCCTATATAATTTAGGTCAGCGGTCTTCAAACTGTCACGACTTGCGGAACCCCGCCAACACTTCGATTTTTTTGAGGACCCCCACATCCAAAAAAAATTTTTTACTGATTATTTAATGTATTTATAAATACTACGATTAACAAAATAAATATTCCACTAAGTAAAAATTAGAGACTAAAGTTTAAAGTGAATATTTAATGAGTAATTAAAAAAAGAGTAAATATAATCAAAGACTGGTTTGTGCTTGAATATTTTTACATAATATGTTAAAATCAGGTGCTATTGTCGTAAGTTGCAGTCGCATTAAGTGCATTGCGATACTTTGTTTTTGTTGCTACGTACGTGGAAAATGATTTTTTCACACAGGTACGTAGTTGCAAAAGGCATTAATAATACATTTATTACCTGGTTAGCAATTTCAGGATATTCCTTATAAATTTCTAGTCAAAGATCAAGGGAAAGGCAACATGACCAATGCGAAGAACGCTGCGCCAGCTCATACTTGTAATTTATAAGCCGACTTACTTGCACTTGCATAAATAGATAAAGCGTGATAAAGCTCTTATAGTAAATTATACGCTTGTACTTATAAAAATATAAAGTTTTAAGAGTTATAGTCTTTCCGAACTCAGTTGAACATGCAAAAAAACCCCTGATTTAATGAGTTTCATAGGCGTGTCTAAAAAAGGTTTCTGCTATAGTTAAAAAATTATAATAATTTGTATATAATGTGTAGAAAATTTCCATTATATGTCCATTTGACCTACAACATATTTTAATTATGTATTTATGTCTTCAAACAATTTTATTATATTGGTGGTAAATTTTGTTTTGTTCTGTTTCAAAAGGTCGCCATGTTGTGATAATATTAATAAACAAAATATCCCTCTTATTTCTCTCTTTCGCAATTGTAATGTGAATGATTGATAGAAGGTGCCTATAATAAATTATAATTACCTGAATCACACCAAATTCCGCATTGCTGCACTGCATTGCTGGGCAATTTATCAACCACTTGTCATCTGCTGAGATTTATTGCCCAGTAGCCCAATGCAACTGTGTTCTTCCTTTTCCTCTTTTCAAATATTTCAATGCCGAGTTACTGCGTCAGCGACCGAACCTGGTACATACTGTCAATCTGTTGGTTCTTCAATTGATATCGGAAAGACTATACCTATAAATTTTTTTAAATTTTATAATTATTGATAATAAAGTTTTTAATTTTTGACTGAGTCGCGGTACCCCCAGAGAGGTTCCGCAGAACACAGATTGAATACCGCTGATTTAGGCTAATTCAACTGTATTTTTACTTGACCTGCCCTTTAATAATATTTTCTGCAATTTTATTTCGTCTTTTTCTTTGGTTTAACAGATGGGTCCTACGAGATGTCGATCCTCCTGGACACCAACGAAGAACTAGTAAAATTATTCCACTCCATGCGATCACCCAGGGAAGCGCGAAGTTACTGCAAAGAGACAATAATTCTCACTCAACAACTAGTCCTGCCAATTCGATGTGCCAACTACTTAGTTTACCTCGCTCACGCTGACTTACGCTCATCACGATATAACGACTGTCAGGTCAAAATTGAGGGATTAACCGATATCCTGTGCCTTAGAAAATACAACCTGAAAGTGGACCAAGAAAATAAACCGCCGTCCTGCGACGCAGATATAGAGAAAGATATCGTCGATTTAACTAACAATTTGCAGGAAATGGTACTCGATTTACCCGTCCCCAACAGTTATAAGAAACAGTTCTCGCCTTCCTCGCCCGCGTTGGTCATTCAACCGTTTCACTTACCGGCGTTCCTGAATCACGAAGAAGACTGCGAATGTTTTTATTGCTTGTGTTTAGAGTATCAAATGCTGGTGTTGGAAAAAACTAGACTCGATGCGTTGTTGAACGTTAAACAAAATAATTTTACGATATCCACCGATTTTTTCCACGGCGCTCAAAATTTTTATGAACTGTGCTCGCAAAAGTACAAATCAACTTTTGAGACCATCGTCAAATTTATTTCCTACGACTTAATACCCGAGTACGACAAAGAAATGTTCGGGCCTTATGGGTTTATTCTGTTGGATTACAGCGCACACCTGATGCGTACAAAAAACAAAAGTGAAGCTTTAAGGATCACCGACAAATTAATAGATTTAGCGTCTTCGAGGAAAGTACGATATGTTTACCTTTACAACGAAGCGCTGTTCCAGAAACTAAGTTACATAACGGAAGTTCCTTCGGTTGCTCTTACCGTTAACAAGGCGATTGAAGTGGATAGTCTTTGCCCGGAGCCGATTATCGTTTCTAGGACACCCGAATCGAAACATAGCAAGGTAACGTTGTCTGTCCAACAGAGTCCGAATTTTTCACCACCGAAGAGAAGAATAAAAAAATGTTTACAATTTAATCTATCCCCAACCCCGGACAACTTCAACGGCCACAAACCGCTTGAGAAAACATCTCCCAGTTCGAAACAACCGAAAACTCCAGTTCCCAAAATAAAAATATATTCAAATGGCGACACCGCGCAAAAATCCAAGTGCTCCTCCTCAGCTGTACATATCTATAACGATGAGAGTAAAAGACACAAAAAGAAAGTGCCGTCGACTGAAGATTCGTGCCCTAGCAGCATTAACGCAGCTATGAAGACACCAGTTTCAGCGTGTTTGGTTAATTCTGAAACTGGAATGAGAACGAGGACGAAGTTGTTGACCGATAGACTGCGTCACTCGAGTAAGAAGCTTGAGGTGCCCACGGTGTTCGTCAGCGATGACAGTAGCAGTCAAGTCAAGGCTCCTAGCGGTAAAAAGCAGATGTCGTTGAGGAAGAAGTTGTTTGATCAAGAAAAGTTGGAAAAGGAACCAAACGTGCCTCTAGGTGGTGGTGCGGGAAGATCTACAAGGAACAGGAAAGTTTAGTACCAATTGTGAGGTTCGATTTGCTGCTGTAAATTGTGTAATTTTTTTATTTATTGTTAAGAGCTATATTTTTTTGAGGTTTGTTAAATTTAGTATTAACTTTGAGAACCTCGATACATTGTTTTCTACTGTTTATGTATTCAAGATTTTCTATGTCGTTTCTAAATTTGACAAATTATGTTTTTTGTAACCTGTACATATGATAAAAATTTTTATTACGAATAAAATATTTTTATGTCTGCTGTTCTTATTTTCTTTGTTTGATCATCTGTTGAGAAAATTTTAATAAAAGTAGGTGGCGATATCAGTGACTTTGGGTGATGCAGAGAATTAAAAAAATTGGATTTTTTAACTTTAGAAAAATTGTCAAATGTTTGTGACAGTTTCATGTGATTAGGAATCTGGATAGGTTCGGTATAATAAAAATTTGGATATTGGAAAAAAATTTTAATGTTGGTCAGGGTTCTGGGAAGGCCCTGTAGAATAATTTTATATTTAACTTTAACTGTATTGCTAAAAATCTGTCTTTATTAGTCAAACTTTATTTCTATACAAAAGTGTTAAAAAATGGCTTCTTTGTCATGACTAAAGAGCGGACAATGTGTGTTTTTAACCCGAAACTTAGGGCAAATTCGGGTAGAGATGCGTACACGTTCAAAAATGTATTGTGTGTAAACTATGTAAAATATGTATAATTATTATGTATAGCAAATATATCGTATTATCCTCGCGAAAATTTATATCCTTTATTTAATATCCGTAAATCACGTAAACTGGTAAAACAACGAGAAAATAATTCAGTTAATTTAGTTCTAAAGAAATGAAATGACACTCGCGTCCATCTCTTGTCAATCCGTCAACATCGGTTGTGTTTATCGAATTCCTATTGGTCAGAATTCAAACTGCAGCTCTCTTATGACTTCAATCATATGCGTCGCCTGAGGGTATTCGTTACATTAATTTCCAATTAAAAAAACGACAATATTTTAAACTGAACTTTATTTAATAAATATGAAGTTATACAATACCTGATTTTCTAAATATTTTATAAAGCCTAAAAATATATGTACCGTGGAATTTTCTTGAGTTATCAAGTAAATTCCCGATGTGTACCCGACACGCCACTGCTTCATGGATAATACAAGGCAAGTTCGGTATTGATATCCAGAGGCTTTAGATGTAGCTCTTTGTCTTTTCATCTCCTACAATTAGAAAAGAACAAAACACATCTGGAGCGTCTAGATGTTAATACCGAACTTGCCTAATGTACCTATGTTTATGAATGACATATCTATGTTCAAGGTTCAAGGACACAAATATTTAAGTTTATAGAACAATAATGACTTTTATAATAATTAATAAATTCAAATTATATCAATGTTACTGAGCATGCGCATTAAAGATAATTTCATGTAAGCGAAGTAGCCTCGCAACATATCATTCCAGGAAAGTTAGGTTATGGTTAAGAGTACGTCTATAATAAACCACTTGAAGAAAAACACACTCAGTAACACCTGACACAGTACAACACTAAGAAAAACAATACAATTACTTTGTAGAACCAGAAAATGCCAAGATTAAACAAAACAAGAGAAATTACGGTAATGATGACAGCGATAACGATAACATACAGGGTGTCCCGAAATTCATGCAACAAAATTTGGTCATAGATTTTTAAGACAAATTTAGGGGACCTTTTTTTTTGCCAACTGGCCCCCTCTTTCGGAGTTACAGCCCCCTGAAAACTGCCTCTAAGAAGTCTTTTTTATATCTCAAAACCATGTACGAGAATCACTAAATTTGGTACACAGGGGTTTTATGACATGTGGAATCTCACAGTGCTACGCTTTTTGGTGAGAAACCCCCTTAAGACACTTTTTCGTGTATCCCCTTGTGTGCCCACGAAAAATTGTCTTAATGTTCCCCGCTAAAAAACGTAGCACCATCAGATTCCACATGTCATGTAACCCCTGTGTACCAAATTTAGTGATTCTCATACAACGGGGTCCCGAGATATAAAACAAAGATTATTCTTAGGGACGGACTTCAGGGGGCTGTAACTCCGAAAGAGGGGGCCACTTGGCAAAAATAAAAAATACGGGTCCCCTAAATTTGTCTTAAGAATCTGTAACCAAATTTTGTTGGATGAATTTCGTGACACCCTGTATATCAACAAGAGCTCACCTGCGTATGAGGCTATTCTTTCCGAGCATTAGCATTATAGCCCATTTACACGAGGCCAGTTGTGAAGACATTCCATTAAGCCAATCCAATGACCAAGTTGAGGCTATTGGCTCCTAAAATTAGAAACCGTTCTAATTAGTGGAGTGGCTTGGTTACCTTGGTTACACGATGCCAATGTTGGATTGGCTTAGTGGAATGTCTTCACAACTGGCCTTGTGTAAATGGGTCATTAGGATACATTATTAGGATACACAGCTAATGTAAAACTTTTACTTTATATAAATTTAGGAATATTCTTTTATACCGTTTTTTTAAATTTGAAGCACATTAGTGTATCTATTTTACGAAACACGTATTGGTTGTTCTTAAATACTTCCAAATCCTTGTAAAAATAAATTTGAAGTTATTCATTTTTATAGTATCTATGTATTTATATTACAATTTAGTACACAAGGATCAGATTCGGTCTATACAATTTCAACTATGACAATTTGTTACGGATTGCCTAAATATGTGACGTCTATTAGTGTCTCTCATCCAATGAGGATTCTACAGACCAATAATGGAAATTGTGTCGATTGACAGCATAGATCAGAACAAGATTGACAGTTCTATTATTATGAACGAAAACGACTTTCATCTGACCACAATATTGAGCTGACAATGCCATTTTTCCTGATTTGTAAAATTATTTGCAATTTTCTAAAAAACAATTTAAAGAGAAAGTAAAACATAAACGTCCGAAAGAGAAAATAACAAAGCAGAAAAAAATTGGAAATTTAAGAAATACCTATGTAGGACTAAAAATGAATAATTACTATAAAAATTGTTCAAAATGGGCACCGCTTTGCCTAATACAACGACTAATTAGTGAAATCATTTGAATATTATTTTTTATTTCCTGGGTATGGCGGAAAATCTTTTGCCGCAGTTCATCTTCACTTGGCGCGATTTCATAAAAAATAATATTTGAATTTGTTTGAATTAACGCAATACCTTTAACACGGAATTTAAAAAAGTGCAAGAGCTAATAATAAAAATATCCATAAAAGAATGTGTATTAACTCAAAAAACTGAATTTCCGGATGCCTTTATTTTCGAAAATAATATGACCGGAATGCCTGCAGATTAGTTGTATTTAGGTAGCTATAAGTATGTGCGGTAATTGCATTACATATGTAGTTATTTTATCGTTGAATTTTTGTTATTTAAAAACTAAATGCTTTACTGGAAATACCAATACTAAACCATTAGTTATTCGAACAGAACCTTGTTACTTATAAATAACTTAGCGATTACTGTTGTCGTTATTATATTCGCAATTATTTCGATAATTCCCAAGCTAAAGCCTAAGCCAGTCGACTATTCAAGTTTTCAATATGTGTATATTTCTTTAAGTGTTGTGATGTTCTAGTATTCCTAATAAACGCAGCTCAAAAAAATACGATAAACTTTTGCAATAGCGCAAGTCTTCATTTACTGCGGTATCTTCTGAAAAATATCTGAACGGAGGTAAGTTAATGGAATTTTAACTATGTTATTTAATATATTTAACAATTGATGTACTTTTATGAAAGTTGAACACTTAATGTTCGTATATAAATGTTAGATAACATAGGAAAACTACACAGGCAGTGTTTTTGAGGGAGACATACGTAGATGGTGGAACACATCGATGTCTTGCACTAGGAAAACTGTCCCTATTGTGTTGGATAGACGGAATAGATATACAGGGTGCCCATAATTAGTGTGCAATACATTACCAGCAGATTCTACAATCAAAAATAAGATATTATTTTATAAACAAGGGTCGAAATATGCTTCCTAAGGGAGCTACGCCCCCCTAAAAGGGGCCTCACGAGATCATATTTTTCAAAATTGTTCCAAAACCAGTTAACGCATCATTATGAATTTTGGTATGTTGGACAATCAAGCATATTAGAGGCCAAATTAATTTTTTCTAATAATTCTTCTCTGCTATATATTTCGGTGTTATAAACGATACTATTTAAGTGTGCCCATATGTAATAATCTTGAGGATTAAGGTCAGGTGAACGAGGTGGCCAGGCAATGAGACCGCTTGGTCCAATCCACCTTTCTGGAAAATATTCGTTCAACTAGTTTTTCACATTCCTACTATTATGAGCTGGAGCTGCATCATTCTGAAAGTACATGTTTCCTCTAATATTCAAAGGTATATCTTTAAAAAATTAAACAATTAATTTTGTAAAAAATGTAAATAAACTTCACCGTTTATCCAATTTGGAATTTCAAAAGGTCCAATTAATTTGTTACGGATAATCCCCGCCCACAGATTAACTGAAAACCTGTATTGGAAATTATTACGCCGAACTACCTTCGGATTATCATTAGCCCAATAGTAGGTATTGTGAAAATTAAGAGCTCCATTTCTGGTGAAATCATCGGTCCAGAGAATTAATGGAAGCAAGTTTTCGTTATTAATGATCCACTGAGAAAATTCGATCCTACACATAAAATCTTCATTTCTCAAGTCTTGTACCCTCTGATAATGATAAGGATAAAGGCCTTGGATAGTGACCAATCGTGAAAGCTAAAATGAGAGCTTTGGATTAGTTTTAATACACGTTTCTTACATTTCTCATTGTGTATTGTTGTTCGTGGAATATTAGTATATTGACACTGTGCTGATGCTGATATTAGGATGATCATCAAATTGAGTTAAGGCATTTTCAAAATTATAATCATTTGGTGGCCTTCCTTGACAGCGCAATTTTTTAAAAGATCCATTATTGTTAATCGTCTATGGGCCGTAGAAAATATTCTACTATTTGATCGTAGAATCTACTGCCAAAGTATTGCACACTAATTATGGGATACCCTGTATAGTAATATTTTGAATAAAAAAAAACATGTAGGTACAGTTGAAGTTGTTTAGTTGAGGCAATGAATCAAATTTGTGTATGGATTAGTTGCAGATCTTCCTAAAATTAGAACACGATGGTTATCTCGTTTTATCTCAAAGCGATATCTTCCCCAGGTAGTAATCTCGGATTAATTCAACAGCAAATTTGGATCTATTTATCTGTGTTTGTAGATGTGATGATCTAATATTTTTTATTGTTGTGCAACGTATTCTGGGAATATTACAAATATCCGTTCTCAGAAAATAAAATGGTATAGACAAATGGTATTTTCAAAATGTAATTGATGTGTTACAGATACAGAGTAAACACTATTAAATAGAACAAGTTTCACAGTAATAGGTATAATTAAGGATTACTTACTAGAACCATCAGTAGATATTTTAAGATAAGATATATATCGAATGAAAGGAAAAAATCATGAGTAATCTTGGTGTTGTTTTTCCATGTTAATATTTCTTAAAATACTGGGTTTAAGATTTTGCTAATGATTCTCATCCATTTTTAATATAAACTACATTAGTGTAGTCTTGCATTTTTTATTGGATTCTAGAAAATATTGTTTACACACGTAGCTAGTTTTTCGAGAATCGATAATTAATTGCCATAATAACCACAGAATGGGTAAAAGAGAATACGTGCATTAGCCAATGCTCATCGTCAACAGTTTTCTTTGAATATGTGGCCCACAATTTCTGCCACCTAGATTCAGTGAAGATACCATACGTTTACTTTCTCGGAGAAGTACTTCCAGTACTCGTTCAAGATGCACCTGTGCAGAAAATCTCTAGAAATGTCTAAGTAGGTACGTGGATCAGTGCTTCCACACATAGAGTCTTGTGCTCAACTTTTTTAATGTCAAAATTTTCACAACCTAAAAAAATTATATCACTTCTGTCAAAGCTGGGCTAAACTAATTGATTAACTAATTATTAAAAGTTTCTCTAAGGGATTCAGACTTCCTTTTTATCATTTTTTTCTTGCTATACTCAAATGGTGACTACTGCACCATATAATCGATACATCCATAGGTTACAGTCTGCAGACAGACAAATACAATATTAAAAAAGAGCATTTAACATGTTAATCAGGTTATCAGCAAGTACCCTCAGCGGATGTTCCATCTTCTAATCGAATAAAATTGAACTAAACAAATCAGTTTATCAAAATGAGACACTCCTATATTAGACATTTGGAGATAATGATGTAAGAAGAATTAAGGGGCAATCCAGATTTTTTCCAGCGACGTTCTTTCCCACAATTTCACAATCTTAAGCCTCCTGAGAGCAATACGTGAATAAAAAAATTCGACATGATAAACAATAAAAAAAAGACAAGTGGTGTGTAATCTTTTAAAATAAGTGATATGAATATTTGATCGGTTTTTAATCCCCACAAAACGTTGAAGTTAGGTCTGATATTGCAGTATTGTAGAGATTTAAATAATACACTACCTGAAAGGAAAATGTTTTTTATGATTAAATTTTATAATAGGAACATTTAATCCTTTTTTATATTTAATAGTTACATTGCAGTTAAAATTGTATTTCAAACAATAAACTCCCATACAATTTAATGGTAAACTGTTATCTTTAAAAGTACATAAATGAAAAAAAATTGTACATGTCTAAGAATTTTTTTTTCAGAAATACCCATAATTAATAATAATTAAATACATTTGTGGAAATATCAATCTTTTCATACAGTTCAACAAATTAAAAATATCTCTAAAACTGTTCGTCTGATGAAAAAGTATACGATTATTTTATCCGAAAATAATTTAAAATTCAGTGTAACGACCTCATTATTATTATTATCTTTCCTGGATTGGTTTATTAGAAAATTTTGCAATTTTTCGTCTCCATAATACATTTATTTTTCTAAATTCTTGTTTTTTTGTGTCATATCCTCCAATTTCCATAGACATGGATAGGATCTAGTAACTACACTAATATTTTAAACTTTCTATTCATTTATGTTAACACCCATCGGCACATAACACAAAAACATTATTAGATACTTAAAACAAGTTAACAACTGATAAAAATAGAAAATTTAAACATAAATCAACTAAAAATATTATCTGACAAATTGTTTTTAGTAGATGACTTAATCCAACGTTGAGTAACGCCACACCTATCTAACCCACACTTAAAAATTTGTTGTATCCATTTTAATTTTTACACTTTCAGCAGCGCACTGTTCATTATCCGACTGACTAAGAGTTACCACCTAAGCTTCTACATATTTCGAAATTATACCCTACTTAAAATCTAGATGATAAGAGGCTGAAGAAAGTTCATTCAATCAAAGTTATATAAAGAAAAACCTTTGAATAAATTATATAAAGTACACCGAATCCCACTTAAATCCAATGCTAAATATTTTCGGCTGAAGATATGGAACCTATAATTAGTTACAGAATAATTTCGTTTCTTTTTATAATATCCATCGAGCTGTCAGCCCTGATTGATGGCGACATTATCTCGTCTCCCTATCTACAACAGCTACATGAAAAAAATATTGAACACTTATTTCATCTGATTAATATATTATCTTTTATTATGGTGCCTATCAAATACAGCAAAAGTAACAAATCATTTGTGTTTTTTTGCTGATTCTATTCTACTCGACATTAACACAACAAACGGTTGCAACAAGTTTTACTTGAGTAAGCTTATTTAATCTAATTATGACATTTAAAATGACATTTTCCGAGATTTGGATAGGAATATCGACTACCTAGAAGGACTATGAGCAATTTTAGGCATATTTGTAACTGTAAATCTTTGATGATCTTAGAAAAACTTGTTAATATACTGTTCTAAGTACAAGCTCAGCTTAGACAACATGCTTCACATAATTTTTGTTTAATCCCTAATTTCATGGCCCACAAAACTTTGTCTTAAATTAAACATCGCATTAGGTATAAAAAAAGTAGTAGCTTTATTGAAATGACGATTTTGGCTTCATATAAATACCTTCATACTACTGCGTCAAGAATCTGGTCAACGCACAAAGTTATCAGGACCCTGCATAATCAGAGAGATAGATAATTTTGATCATCCTCTAACCAGAATGATATAAAGACTTTACTGACTTGGATAATTATTGCTACAACATTTTGTCAATCATTTTCAACAGTTTAAAACAACTCTAACTCAAGGAGATACCTTTCAAGTGGACACCATGACATGAAAAGGTTTTTGAAGATAAAAAATCTTCTTGGCCCATACACTGGCTTCCTACAACGATACGGAAGCATCTTTCCACCTGAGCAGGACAATGCTTTAGAACGATTTCATAAGATCATGGGTGGACGTCACTTTATTCTTCAGACCGATCATCGTTTCTTCATTGGTCTTGATGAACACTTCTAACACCAAAGGACACGTTGGACACTTCGATTGGTTGGTTACGAACATATGAGTTTGACCAAACTTCTATTTTGGTTAATACAACAAACATCTCAAGACTACATGGATCCTGAGTTGGAATAAATCATCACCTCCACAAAATGCCTTGTCAAGATACTTGCCATTATTTCACATTTAAGAAAGTAATGGATAAATCAAAAATGGTACAACGGAGACGAGTGGACGCACCACT